AAAATGGAACAACATATGCATCAATTTCCCTTATCTGGCCTGTGTCTTTAGACGTATACGTGCCTGTCGTTTGATTGAATGTGATGTGGGCGATAAGTTGTCCATGGCGGCTTTTAGCCTCTAGGCTTTTCCTGACCGCTTGAGCTGGTTTCTTACCCGGCATACCCTCGATAGGGGATTGGGCTTTTTACTACATGTTTGTCCCCATGCTTTTTAGCCGGCGTGATTCAGTTCCTGACCATGCTGGTGGCTGCCACAACCTAAGCAAGCCTGGTGGTTTGGTTTAACATTGCAGTTACAATAGGTGCTGGTACGGATCGCCTCGTTGGCTTGTGGTGTACCCTTCTGTCTGCGGTATGTTGATAGCCGAGCAGCATTGTATTTGAAACACTGGCCATTGAGGTTTGGTCCCGCAATGCTGATTCAAATGCCTCAGCATGACCAAAGGGATTTAAGTGCCCTAGCTTTGGCCAGTAGGTCAGCCTGGGTGTGTCATTTGCTATTCCACGGATGATCTGGTCCTTGATGTATATATCAGACAGGTCATGTTCACACGAGGGCAGGTAAAGTTACAATCAACGGCTACGGCTCTGGGGCGGACAAGGGTATTGGCTCATCAGCATCCTGAGACATGGAGGCAAAAGCAAGGCGATGGACAATTTTTCACCAACACTTCTACCATGTCAAGAATTATCTGGATCAGTGGTAAAGAAGTCAGGGTGTGTGTTGATTATGGCATTTTGCACAGCCTCATCAGTTCTGTTGTATAGGTGAATATTAGCTTGGGAGTTTGGCATATTTGTCATCTTGGTAAAGACATCCCAGTCAATTCGGAACTTCCTGAATTGCTGTGGTGTCATCTCGAATGAGATGAGGATAGGCTGCTAGTGCCTGAATGCAGGTTGTCTGGGTGGTGGATTCCTTAGCCTGTTGATACACAGGGCTTCTCCATTAATGTGACTCCCAGCTCCTTAAGCATAGATCGATCCAGCATTTGAAGGCTCTCGATTGTCAGCTTCTCGTCCGCAAACCTTGTTGCATGAGTTTTTGGCCGAGTCGGTGGATATGCCTGCTTCAATGAAGAAGAGTTCCCAATTTTCAGGTGTCATAAATCCTGTTCGCAACGCCATGTCGAACAATCACGTGGTCAAGATAACCACTCAGTTGTGGAGCAAGCTGAAAGCACTAATTCAACATAGAGACAGAGCTATTTATGGTGCAATGGGCATCTCATTATGCTAAAGTGGGATAGTCCATTGCTTGGGCTTGTGGCTGCTGGTACCTGGTGGAAATATTACTATATAATACTAGCATGATTTCTCAGTTTGCAGGATATGTATTAAGTTACAACCTAACTTTATTTTTTGTCTGCCAGCTGGACGCTAGTTGGAACTCTTACGCCGGTAAGTTTTTTTTTATTGTTATTCTACAGTACATACTTAAAAAGTAATATTTATTTATTTCTATATAGTAATGTATATCTTCAGACTAAACTTTTTCTCATATCAGATTTAAGTAAATTTGAATATAAGTAGAGTTCAACCAGTTCTAACCTTCATGCCTAAGACCTGCAATGTGGTGCACATAGTAGTAACCCACCCTCATTTCCTTCGTATTCCATTAGTGGGATGTAGCTTCCACTTGAACTACTGCCTTGTGGAACCAACACCCAAAAGGATGCTTACCCAACCACTATAAACTTGATAACCTGATAAAGACTAAGGTTAACTGTTATCTTCCTCATATATCCACATATACTGTGCCTCTTACTCTGTAATGTCCTACTTTGAATGGCTCTAGGGCCTTATGCAGGGTGGACATTGTCATAAAAATAATAAAAATAAAACGCAACATGCATTGTGAAAATAGTTCTTACAAAGACATTGCTTTCAGTGTACAGATATTTATTTAAAAAATAGGTCCACACTTTCCAGGCAACTTTGATCTTCAAAATTTTAAATGCAGTGTCAATCATTATCTACTGTCTTCTTGTTTAGTCTTCTTCTATTGTTCTTGCCCCTTAATAATGTTTCTCTTTTTTCTTATTCTTTCATACTCTGTAATCCCCCCCTTTGTGTCGTAGCACCTTTATTGCCTAGATTGGAATGGACTGATTAAAAAAAAATGAAAAAAAAATGTGGAAAATTAATCTCCTTTTTTTGATTTCAAGGAAAGTATTATTTATTTACACAAACTAACGACCAGACTGATATTATGTATAAATATTATTGCCAGAATTATGCAAAATTAGTAGTTGACCATGATGAGGAAAACAGAACTGTCACGTGATATTCGAGTTATCTTTACTAGCCAATCAGCGTCTTTGTTCCATGTCAATTTTACCTGTTGTATTTAAAAAAATATTTTGGGTTATCTCCCTTTCACCAGAGTTTTACTGTTTTTGCTATTTTCTTTTTTTTTTTTTTTCTTTAAATAGCTTTTACTTTTTCTTTTTGACAATGATGTTCACCATGTACAAGACCCAAGATGCATTCGAGGTAGAGGGTTACAGAGTGGGAGGCACCATCCCACGCAAGGTGATAATGCCACCAAGACGTAAGGGACTATAGGGAGTGAAAAATAAAGAAAAGACTTTAGAAGGAACTGGAAACCCAGTCCTAAACAGGAAACAAGGGATAAAACTCTACTCTTGTTCAAAAGAACAGGGAAGAGTATCAACCAGACGTTGGTTTATGCCATTCTTCTTCTTCTGTGTGCTGTGTTCTTTCAGAATGTGGGTGATAATGGCTCCCCACAATTTCCTGTCCTTTATAGCTCTTAATAAATTTTGTCATTTTTTCTATCACTCCTCATCTCTGTTTTGCCAACCATGTACACAAGTTCTTTAGGTAGGTTATATATTCCTCTGGCCCTTTTGCTTTGAAAATCTCCTGTGACATTTTCTTTATTTACACTATATTCTGACTATTGTCTTCACTTTTGTTATTGTGATCATAAGCTTCGGTCATTGTGCCCCTTGACCTTCATCAGGTGTATATCAATTTAGGTAACCTACAGGGTACTAAATCCTTTATTTAATCTACAGATGTTCTTGTTCCACTATTCTATCTATGGATATCTCTTCTACTTCTTTTTAGTACTGGTCAGTTATTGCTTACCTGTTTTTGTATTTTTTAAAGTGAGGGTAATGGTGTACAAGGTCCAGTGACCATTCAAGGTAGAGGGTTACATTAAGAGACAGTTTATGCAGATAGGAAGGGAAAATAACAATTACACCTAGACTTGAACAGGTTAAGATTATAGTAATTGGGAAAACATAGAGCAGTGGTTCTGGGTAAGAAACTGTTCAAGTGAAACTTACTTCTCACCAATGGAATATGGAAGGAATTTAGGTGATTTGCTACAATGTAAGTAGCATGGTGAGTCTTAGCTGTGAAGGTCAGAACTCAGGTTCGTTCGTTTTCTTCTTCAATGTACCGAGGCCCTTCTGGATGTAAGCGATCATGGCTCTCCACAATTTCCTGTCCTTTGTAGCTGTTAATAAATTTTGTCTTTCTATTATTTCTCCTAAGCCATGTTCCTCCATCCATTTACTCAGGTTCGTTCGTTTTCTTCTTTAATGTACCGAGGCTTTTCTGGATGTAGGTGATCATGGCTCTCCACAATTTCCTGTTCTTTGTAGCTCTTAATAAATTTTGTCTTTCTGTTATTTCTCCTACGACATGTTCCTCCATCCATTTACTCAGGTTCGTTCGTTGTCTTCTTCAATGTACTGAGGCCCTTCTGGACGTAGGCGATCATGGCTCTCCACAATTTCCTGTCCTTTGTAGCTCTTAATAAATTTTGTCTTTCTGTTATTTCTCCTAAGCCATGTTCTTCCATCCATTTACTCAAGCTCATCATGTTATGCGTTGTTTTTCTCTGTCTCTCTTGCCCTCTTTCTCTGCCTAGTATCAGATTTTCCAAGCACTCCTTCCTCGTAGTAAGCTTGTTCTTCCAGCTTCATTGGGCTTATGGCAACATCAAGTTGAAACATCAGTTCTCATATGATTACTGAAGTTAAGCTACATCGAGTCTGGTCAATAACTATATTGGTGACAATTGGAAATATCAGGTGCTGTAAGCATGATATGTGAGGTTCTGTAATGGACAACATCTTGGAATTGAAAACTGGAGGGCCGGAATCCAATCTGGTTTTGTTATATTCTTCTTCTTTGTGTACCATGTTCCCTCAGGATGTAGATGTTCATGGCTCTCCACAACTTTCTGTTCCTTGTAGCACTTAATAAACTTTGTCTTTCTGTTATTTCTTCTTCCTGTTCCACCATCCATTTACTCAATCTCACTAACTATGTTATGCATTGTTTTACTCTGTCCCTCTGTCTTGTGAGTGTCAGATTTTCCCAGCCCTCTTTCCACATGCGCCCTAGAAATTTAGGTATAAGTTTCCCTTTCATTGCCAATCTAGTATTGCACTTAAATTTGTAAAATTGAAGTATCAAATAGTAAAGCTCATGAAAATATTTTAAAAAAAGGTGCAGGGAAATTGTTTTGGCACTGGGAATATGATTGAAGCTGAGATGCTAGCTGAGGACCAATAAGATTGCGGATTCTTCTTTGTATTTTATCAAGTATCTCAAAATATATAGCAGGGCAGCCAGACCAGATGTGGCAGCAATATTCAATACATGGAGGAATGCTAGACTTATAAATGTGTAAGCTTTTTTAAAATCATTTCACCTGAAGTAAGGTGATAATGCCACTAGGATGCAGGATGTTAAACAGTGTGAAGGAAATTGAGAAAACTTTAGCAGATTCTTTGGATTTTGTCAAGAATCTTGCGATATTTAGCTGAAACATAAGACAAAATATGGTAGCAATATTCAATGCAGTTCAAATTTCAGTCTAGTTTTCAGATTGAGAGGACTAAGTGAATTGTTGTTTCTTTGTTTTGTTTAATGAAGAACTACCAACATCACTGCTGCTATGACAAAGAAAAAACAAATGTCATGCTGATAATTTTCTTTCTTTTTCTTCAGTTTTTAGATTCATCCACGATTGCCGTCAACTTGAGTTCTGCGGGAAGACGACTGTTTGATATTAATGGAACGGAACTTTACAGCCTTCAGGGTTTGGTCAGGAATCAGATTGTCTATATCAGTTGCCATGAGGCTTGGTCTGATCCAAAGATAACCAAAACTGAGCAGCAACGCCGGATTTTATTAGCACAGCTCTCCTCAGACATGACCAAAATCCGACAATACTGTGCCATGCGGAACCTAGAAAGTAAATAGGATTTTTTTGTTTTCATTTTGAATCTTACATCAAAAGATGATTCTACCTAATATACAAGAAGAATTCATTTTTTATATTGACCTTAAATTCTTAATATGTCAGCAATAAAATTTTAAAATGAGTTTCTTTGTATATCATCGTGATTGTTAGCAAAAGGAACAGTCTAATATGGAAATTACAAATTGAAGATACAAAAACACAAGTCATCGTGACTGATGTTTCGAGTGTACTGGCCTTGTTCTAACTGTTGCTCATGCCAGAATATGTGCTCTCTCCTAAAAATTGTAACTAAGGTCTGATCAACATAGTATTTATTTTGCTACTGTTATTCTCTCTCTCTCTCACACACACACACACACATATATATATTTAGAAAAACAATATGAGAAATTGAAAAAAAGTTTCAAAATTCTTTCAAAAATTTTGAAACTACCAGTGTCTCTCATTTCATATGCACCATCAAATTCCAGTCCAATGAAAATCCTAAAGGATGAAATGCATCTCAGAAACTTTTTTCAAGTTGTCATTGTATTTTTCTAAATACTGTTTGTTGATATATAAAATTATCCAAAAATATATATATCATCATATATATATATATATATATATATATATATATATATATATATATATATAAAAATTCATGGATTTATTTTTATTTTATTTTCAGATATTTTATTACTTCAAATGTTATTATAGTGGATACTCTGTATTTGAAGTAGATGCTCTCCATAGATGAGCAGTAAAGCATGGTGGATCAAATGGTGGTTTCTCCTAAAAAGGGGGATGTAGGTTTGATCACTACTGGATTTCTCGAATACACAAGCAGGTCAATAGACATAACATATATTCATACCATTTGAGAATATAAATGGGGTGTCTATTTCAAATGCAAGTATCCACTATAAAATTTTAAGTATATACATATATATATATATAGTTTATGAAAAACTAGGTAATCCGTATGGGTAAACCTAAGGAGGATAAAATTCAGAGAGCTCAATGTAAATCCAGAGCAAATAATTTAAATAAAAATAGAAGTTGGAAACATCGACTTTATAACCATCGCCAGTCCTTCAAAGATAAATGTAAAAAGAACCAAACGGCACTGTCAAAGCATTATTGGGATTTGTTGAATGGTGGCTTAACCCCACAAATAAAGAGGAAGATAATCTCGAGAGCCAGAACTCCAATAAATTTCAGAGACAGATGCGACTTATGCATAAAAGAAAAAATCCTCATAATAAAACATAATAAAAAAATAAAATATATTACTAAACAAACATAATGAACTAATTTTTAAATGCTGACATAAGAACAACCTAAATCTAACTAAATATATTTAGGAATAACTATATAGGAAGACTAATATTATATGATCTTGGTTTTTTGTTTTTGGAAATGTTGTTATGCACACATAAGTGCGAACACATAACTGTATGTATATAACTATGTAATTGAACTTGGACATTGATACGTCTTTTGATATGTATATGTATATGTGTTTATATGGAAAGAGAGGCATGCATGTGTTATTTTTGTGCATTGTGGGCACATTTTTGGAGTGGGTGGGTATGGTTATGGATATGTATGTATATATACTTGTATGTATATAGGTGATCTATTTTTTTTTTTAAATATATGTAGTTATAGTATATATGAGTGTATATATGTGTATGTGTGGGTATGTGGGTACATGTATATGTGTGGATGTGTATGTTTACAATTTTTTATAATTTCTATATATGTATGTGTGAGTGTGGGTGTGTATATATAGATGGGTACATGTATGTTGTTCCATAGATAGTGTATGTATGTATGTATGTATGTATAAATATAAGAAGTTGTGAGTTAATATATATAATATGGGAGAATATAGATATAATAATGTAATTAAGTATGGATTTTGATATGTTTTTTGCATGCATGCACATGTGGGTTTATATATGTATATATATATATTTGTGTGTATGTGTATATGTGTGTATATGTGTATGTGTGTGTATATGTGTATGTGTGTGTATATGTATGTGTATATATATGTGCGTATATATGTGGGTATATGTGTGTGTATATGTACATGTGTATGTATGTGTGTGTGTGTATATCTACATGTGTATGTATGAGTATATACATATACATATATATATATATATATGTGTGTGTGTGTGTGTGTGTGTGTATGTGAATATATGTATATATATGGCTATGTATGTATATGTATACGGATATGTGTATATGCGTGTATATGTATATTTATGGATACATAGAATATTATAAAAGAAGGACTTACAGTCCTGTTATTTGTGTTTTATCTCATTTTCTTATTTAATATTCTCCAATTGGAAGTGTGAGTTTAAAATTCTTTATAATATAGAGGAAAATTTTTTAAATTGATAATTTAATTTAAATTGAAATATATTACCCTTTAATAATCATTATTGATGATAAAATATTTAAATTGGAAAAATTTTTGATATTTAGGTAGGTGTTAATACATGAAGTTACCAGTGTATATCGGTACATGGGTACCTGTATGAGTGATTGAACATGTAAAGGAACAAGTGTATATGTGATATTTGCATGGGTGTGTATACAGTATATGACAGAGCAAGATCTTTAATATTGCCTTCAAATATTACCCCATATTAACTTAACTAAAATTTAAGTAAAGGAGATTACCTATCTAGAAACAGTCACGAGTTAAATTCATGAACAAAATTCAAATGGATAGAGATGTCAACTTAATAATCAATAATAAAATTTTTTAAAGAGATTAAAAAAAAGATTACTAGAAGGAAACTTATATTCTAAAATAAAATTTTATTCTTTTAATGTACTTTCTATGAATATTTATCTAATCGACTATTTCATAGAAAATCCCCAAAATTTTTAAAAAATTTAAATCACTAACAAACATCAAATTAAATAATTTGTAGACAGTTTAGAGACATTCAAATTTATATCAAACATTTTAATCTTTATGAACCCCCAAAATAACACTTTCAAAGTAAAACAAAATAACAGTGTCTGTTTCTAACCTTTTTTACAAAGAAAATTAGTGACACCTTCCCTCATAACTTCCTTCTCTCTTTTTCTCTCTATGGGTTTTTTCTTCTCTACCCCTTCGATATCAATATATAACTTCCGTTAAGTTAACCATTTAAATGTGTCAATATCTGCTAACTCACTCATGTCTTCTCTCTCCCCCCTCAGTTCGTTAATTTACATATGTTTAATACAGCCCGTCAAAAATTGTGTAAATTTTATTTTTGTTTGGAAGTAAAGTCTGATGATCCATGTCCTTTAAAAAGGCTGTGGTGAAATAATTTATTACATGGAACCTTAAAGTGGTCTGTTTTTTATTTAAATTATATATATATATATATATATATATATATATATATATATATATATAAAAAAATAAAAGAATGTCTCATATCGAGAATATTTAACATTGAAAAACATAAGGAAAAAATTAGTTATTTTTTAATAATATGTGAAAACCTCCGCTTTTATCTGAAGACGGTCGCGAGACCAGAAACACATGTAGTAGAATTATGGAAAATAAAGCATAATATTTTTATCTAAAAAAATCCACATTACAACCAAAAATGTTTGTGACACCTCTCTTCTTTTCTTTTTAATATATATATATATATGTGTGTGTGTGTGTGTGTGTGTGTGTGTGTGTGTGTGTGTGTGTGTGTGTGTGTGTGTGAGTCACAAGTGGAATTAAGAGTTAAAAAATGAAAAAAATGGAATGAAATGAAAAGATGCACATGTGAAATGACAGGGAAAATGTCACATGTGTAATGCAATGATAAAATGGCACATATGGAATGAAATGATAAAATAGCACAAGGGGAATGAGTGAGAAAAATGACACAAGTGGAATGATGAGGAAAAAATGGCACAAATGGAATCAAGAGGAAAAAATGGCACAAATGGAATGAAAAAAAAAACTGGCACAAATGGAATGATGAGGAAAAATGGCACAAGTGGAATCAAGAGGAAAAAATGGCACAAATGGAATGAAGAGGAAAAAAAATGGCACAAGTGGTATGAGAGGGGAAAATGACATAAATGGAATGAATGGAAAAAATGACACAACTTATTTTGCTTTCTATTTCATGATTCTAATTCACCTGAATTTGACCCATCAAAACCTGCCACCAAGGGCAGACTCCAATTTCAGTTTCTGCCAATGAATACCACCATCAATATTAGGGGGACATTATTCTAAATAGATCAGTGTATAAAATCAAATATAAAACTAAAACAAATTTCAAATAAAGGTTTTACCAATTTTAATTCCAATATGTTTTAAAGGGTTATTTTTGTCCTTTGGTATTTTTCTTTTTCCAGATTATATACTGAAAGTTGGTGGACCCTTGTGCAGTAAATCAAAAATAATGATTGGTCAGTTACATGAAGTGATGTTGGAAGAGGGATCTTTGCCAGAATCAGATCTGGCATTGAGTTGTGAAGAGAAAGATGATGAGCTTCAAGTGGAAGAAAAAGAGAAGCTTTTTCAGAAAAGTGACCAAACTGGAACGAAAGAACCAATGTGGGTATCCGCCAGCTTTATATCTTACACTTAAATGACTGTCATCAAACAGCAAGTGTCCTAGCTTGATTGTGGACCCATTTCTTTTACAGAAGGGAGTTTTCAGCCTGGAGTCAAAAGTAGTTCTACTGGAAACAGTTTAGTCTTGTTAAAATTGACTTCAAATATTGATTTATGATTATTGGCACAGAATTGAGAATTAGTGATCTGAGTTCAAATCCCTGCCTACACTGTGGTATTCATTTTTTTACTAATACCCTTGGGAAAGGCATGACATTTAAAAGAAAATGCATAAATCTAGTTTCATATTTTGGCTTTTTACTAATAATTCTAAAAATAGCTTTTTAAAACAACAAAAATTCCCAAGGGAGTATATAGTAATAGTTATTATTATGGCATCCATTAGTCTCAATAGATCATGGGTCTGTTCAAAGATCTGTTATGCCCTCTCTAGGGTGCAGGCTTGGGCAGGTTTTTTTTTATGAGAGATTGGCAGTTGCCCATGCAGCATGTATCCTGTCTCCATGCCACTTATGTAGTGCAAGGGAAAGGCAGAGGCCAATACTGCTTGACAATGGCGTCATTTCAGGAGCTGCCAGAATGAAATAATATCAGATTGTCTTAGGGACACTGGCTCTGGATTTGAATTCAAAGTTGTCCTTCTTTAAAACAAAATAAAATTATGTGATTAAATATTTAGCAGCTGTGGTGTATCTAAGACAAGATAGCCTGATGGAGCCCAACCCACTCTAGGCTGGTTTGAACTCAGAGTTTTCATTCCCCTAGACTAGTTGCCAACCAAAGGCATCTGTCTTGCTATTTAACCCATAGCTGGGGGAGAAGATGGATTCCTGCCTCGCCCAAGGGTATCTGCATGTAAGTGGATGTAACAAACTCAACTGGATTTTGAACTCAGTTTTTCGATTTCTTGTTGCAAGCTGCTACCCATTACACAAACAGGCATCCCTTGTTTAAATTTCTGCAGATCTATTTTAAAGTGGAAAATAAACATACAGGGTTTTCTAAAATATAACCATTTTTTATGCATAAGCTTTACAACAAAACTAAAATTTTTTTCCCTTGATAGAAAATAGTTTTTTTTTGCATGCTTGAAAGATATATACCAGGTGTAACAGCAAAATTGTCCAAATTATGTGACAGTGTAATTGCCCATCCAACAAAATGTTTTATATCTGAAAAACCACTAAACTAATTGAGTTTCTCTTTTCCAGGTTATCAGATAAGACGTTTAGCCATCTTGACACTATTTGTCGTAAGAATCAATGAAAAACCGTTTTTAGTTATTCAGCTAGAAAGAGAACAGGTTAAAATCATTTTGTGTCAGCCCCACTATGTCTTCCAAACTGAGCAATGATGAGAGGAAAAAGATCATTCAGTAATAGTACCAACATTAATACTCTGGCTTCCATCTTCAAAGCCCATTCAAGAACCCTCAAAAGAATGGTGAATTAGTTTTAAAAAGAGGGAAAAGTAGAGAGGAAAACAGAACCAGGAGGTCACAACAGAAAGAGGGATCATCATTTCAACTGGCATGTGAGAGAAGAGTTTTAGCTATGACAGTCCAAAGTGCAGTGTAAAAAATACTTGAAGAAATGAAATCGTACGTGAGACCTGTGAGGCAACTTGTTACTCCAGGACAGAAAGTTAGAAGATTAGAGACGGTGAAGATCATCTTGGATAAGTTGGAAAACGATCCTCAAATAATATATATATATATATATATATATATATATATATATATAAATTAAATTAATTTCAATCCTTCATGAGCTTCCGATCCTTAGCTATGATTAAATAATGATAAACATGGCATTTTCATTTCTGATTGATTTCATCACGATTTGTCTGTTAAGCTGGGAGAGTAATTATACATACTTATTTCTCAAAGTAGAGTTCAATAGTGTTATAAAAACTCCAGTAAGATGTCTTTAATCATTTCCAAGATACAACAGTTCAGAGCTTAATCTAAAAATTGGACAGTTTTGCTGTTATACGATTTGGACAATTTTGCCGGTACACCCAGTCTGAATGGTGTAAATAGTGTAAATAGTTACAACACCTCATCTCAAAAACATAGACAGATATTCAGATAGTAAAATAAATTGCAGAAGAATATGAAAGAAAAAGCCCTAAAATTAAGAAATTCGGATAATAACTAAGGACAATAAAACAGGCAATTGTTAAAAAATGAGGGCGAATGATTATGAAAAGGCCTTGCATGATGAGGTAACAAATCAATAAAAAAAATCTATTGATCAAAGCATTGTAATATGTTACCTGTTTTCTGTCCTAAAACAGGTCGCATCATGACATTTCACATGTACGCTCAGAGGAACGTCTCAACCGACTCAAGTGGCCATGGGAGAGACTGGTCAACTTGGAAGGATGTCTGGATGATGACGAGGATATAGAAGCTGATCCAGGAGTGGAAAAAAACTCCAGCAAAATTTCCCATGAGAAATTTAAGTGAGATATTCCAGCATCTTTCTGTTTCTTTTTTTTCCTTTCTGTTTCTTTTTTTTTCCTTTCTGTTTCTTTTTTTTTCCTTTCTGTTTCTTTTTTTTTTCCTTTCTGTTTCTTTTTTCCTTTCTGTTTCTTTTTTTTCCTTTCTGTTTCTTTTTTTTCCTTTCTGTTTCTTTTTTTTTTCCTTTCTGTTTCTTTTTTTCCTTTCTGTTTCTTTTTTTTTCCTTTCTGTTTCTTTTTTTCCTTTCTGTTTCATTTTTCCTTTCTGTTTCTTTTTTTTTCCTTTCTGTTTCTTTTTTTCCTTTCTGTTTCTTTTTTTTTCTGTTTTTTTTTTTCCTTTCTTTTCTTTTTTTCCTTTCTGTTTCTTTTTTTCCTTTTGTTTTTTTTTTCTTTTTTTTTTTTCCTTTCTTTTTTTTTTTTCCTTTCTGTTTCTTTTTTCCTTTCTGTTTTTTTTTTTTTGTTTCATTTTCCTTTCTGTTTCTTTTTTTTTTTTTTTCTTTTTTTCTTTCTGTTTCTTTTTTTCTGTTTCTTTTTTTCCTTTCTGTTTTTTTTTTTCTGTTTCTTTCTTTTCTTTTTTTTCCTTTCTGTTTTTTTTTTTTTCCTTTTCTTTTTTCCTTTTTTGTTTCTTTTTTTTCCTTTCTGTTTCTTTTTTTTCCTTTCTGTTTCTTTTTTTTTCCTTTCTGTTTCTTTTTTTTCCTTTCTGTTTCTTTTTTTGTTTCTTTTTCAACAAATATGCTTTCAGTTTCTGTAATTCTGCGAAGGAATGCTTTCCCCAACCCTTGTAATATTTTTAAATGCAAATATTCACTGACAACGCTGAATAGAATCTAAACAAGTCTTTCTTCTAATTTCATATGCTGTACCAGAAGACAGAATTTTTATTAACATGTTTCCTTTTCACATTTTTATTACTTAACACAAGAGTAAGTAAAAAATTATCCGCACATTCGCCATAACATAGCTTTAGGTTTGTCACACAGCCTTCTGGTCATGCGGAAGTTGTGATCCCATGATTGAAGTTTGAGCATGATTGCGCCAGTTTTCTTGCTGCTGTTACAGTATAAACATGGCCACTCTGCTAGCAGTGTGCATCAAGGAGCAGTGATCAGATTTCTTTGGTTGAAGCAGGAGTCAGTAGCTGAAATTCATCAAGGGCTTTTAACACAAAATGGCAACAGTGCACTACTGCATTGAAGTGAGTATGGGTAGAATGAGTAGGTTACAAGTGGCCAAACAAGTATGATGCACAAAGAAGGTGCAGGATGATGGTAAACCTACACTACTGATGAGAAGATGGTAATTACAAATCGGCAAATTATCATCGAAAAGATAGCATGTTCACTGAAGATTCAGGTCACTGCTTTTTGTTCTTCCTTGGTGCACACTGCTAGCAGAGTGACCATGTTTATACTATAACAGTAGCAAAAAACTGGCGTGATCAAGCTCAAGCTTCAATCACGCAATCACGGACGTACCAACTATGAGCACACATGAGCATAAGGCAGGGTAACAAACCTAAAGATATGTTATGGCGAAAGAGCAGATAAAGATTATTACTATAGATTAAGCTCTTCAGATCACAAATATTAATTTCTTTTTTTTATTAGATCTTATAAAAGTTAAGGTTAGGTCCAGTTTGTTACGTCAAGTGATCCCTCTACAAAAGTTAAAACAAAATATGCTAATTCAATGTGACTTCTTAAAACTTAAAAATGGGGAAGGAAGGTCTTCTCTTGTAGCATTCACTGATCTGTACATATAATTTTTCATTCACCAAAACATCAGATTTACTCTTAACAGTCATACAGTAAGGATAAAAAAGGCGATTATCTCCCTTTGGTGGAGATAAGTCACATGAGTCACATGACAGATGCTTAATGATGTCACTTCATACAGTGATGAAAGTGGCAGTAAATTCTATTCCGTTTACAGTTGCCAAATTTAGCAGACATGGGAACAACAGCGATTAAGAGGTGGTTCTATGCTCTGTAAAACCTCCCAATCAGTAGCTTTACTGTTGGGTGTAGTTCATCATTATGCCAAGGAGGATAATAATCTGAATGTAAATAAGGGTCAACATGTTTCAAAAACAACCAGCTAACTGTCCAACCAACAAAAATAAAAAGCTAGCCTTTGTCATGAATCCTTATTTTGAGAAAAAATTTAATTTTGAAATTTTATTTCATCATATTTTTTACTTTATTTAGTAGTAATAAGGATGTAGCAAGAATACTGATATCAGTTAGAAGAGCCTCTGTTTTATGGAGAATATCTAGCAGAGAAACTTCAAATGAGTTGAGAGTAGAGTTGGAAGAAAATTTCCAAGCAAAGCACGCTACTTCGTCTACAGTATATGTCAACACTTCAATCTGATTGAAGAGAGGAGGGAGTGAGGATTTGCTTTTGTTCTGCATGCTGTTGCAGAGCCGCCATTAATCTCTAGAACTGAACTTGTGAGAAGTTATACAGTATCTCAATCTATCAGCAAATATTGACTTTGCTTCTTTGAGTCCATGCTTGCACTCATTATGAGCAATCACAAAGAAATGCCTGTTACAATTGGACCTGTTGATCTATCCAGTCATCCCATAAGTTCTGTCCAAATTTTGAATAAAGAAAACAAGTGACCAAATGTTACATTTAATTACAGATTCAATCAACAATGTATTTTCCCTGATTATCTATGACTTCCTTCCATCTATTAACAAGTTTACTAATTCCATTACTGTAAAATTCTTTTGGCTTTGATTCAAAGAACTCACAAATGTCAGTTTTAACCTCTTCCTGTGTTACAAAAGCTGTTTCTTCCAAATAATTCTGTAAACTACGAAACAAATAGTAGTATGAAGGAGCAAGATCAGGAGAATAAGGTGGATGAGGAATTTTCTCCCAACCAAGTTCTTCGATCTTTTGTGACATGATTCTTGCTGTGTGGGGTCGCACATTGTCCTGATGAAACATCACCCCTTTTCGATTCACTAGAGCAGGTCTTTTTTTCCTCAAAGCTTGGTTCAAATGCTCTAATTGCTGACAGTATATTTGAGCATTAATTGTTGCATTAGGTGGTAAGAATTCAAAGTGGATTATTCCTTGGCGATCCCACCAGATTGAAAGAAGAACCTTTTGCCCATGAAGTTCCCTTCTCGGCTGTGGCTGGGGTCCTTCCCCTTTACCAAGCCACTGTCTATGATGCTTAACATTTCGATAAAAGATCCATTTTTCATCGCCAGTCACAAGTCTATCCAAAAAAGGTGAAACAAGTTGGCAAGAATGGAGAGAAAAGCAGATGTCAACTCGGGATTTGAGGTTGTTTTCAGACAATTCATGGGGCACCCATTTTCCAAGTTTAGGAACTTTTCCAAGTTGTTGAAGATGATGATGAACAGTTGTATGGTTTGAACTGAGACAAAAAGTTGTATGGTTTGAACTGAGACAAAAAGTTGTATGGTTTGAACTGAGACAAAAAATTAAAATTCAGACAGAACTTATGGGATGACCTGATAGTATATCCAGAAGAAGTGATTCTTGTGGATTCTAGCAGCTGAACAGGCAGGAGAGATCCAAGGAAAGGATTGTGGTTTCCCTTGATATTTTCATACTGGCATGAAAACTTCAATGCCAGCTTTCACCGAGACCATACAGTGAATATGAGCACAGTCAGGTGTTACCATTATCATTTAACTGAGGGCTGTTGATTTCTAAGAATAGGATAAACCAAAACAGTTCTGACACTTTACAATTTGATATTCTTTGTTTCAGGTGCAAATCAACGTCGACTCAGTCCTTTGAGCGGCTGTCAAGATTTACATATGAAGACAACTATCTTGCCTGTGTATATAACAAGAATCTAGTGCTTGGTACTGGGCCATCAGATGGTCGAGGAGTTGAAGTGATCCTTATGAAGAAATCTCCAGATAATATCAACCAACAATGGATCATCAAACCTAATGGGTAAGTCCAAAGTAGGTCCTATTAACAAAGAATAATATTGATTTTTGACTTGGATTTACTTTCATCTTCATTTTTTATTAGATGAACCATTGTCAGCCATTATTATTAATTTTTGGCTAGTATTTACTTTCATCTTCATCTTTTTATTAGAAGCACTTTTAACCATTATTATTAATTTTTGACTAGGATTTATGTTCAACTTCATTTTTTTATTAAATGTAGCATTGTCAGCCATCATTATTAATTTTTTACTAGTATTTATTTTCATTTTTTATTAAATGAAGCATTATCAATCATTATTATTAATTGTTGACTAATATTTTCTAGCATATGATTTTTTATTAGATATAGAATTTTTAATGATTATTATGAATTTTGGACTCCTGTTTATTTTCTTGTTAATTTTCATTTTGTCCTTTATTAAATGATGTATTGTCAGCCATTATTTCTAATTTTTGAAGAGTATTTTCTTCATCTTAATTTTTACTTTATTTTTATCAGATGAAACATTGTCAAACCTTATTCATTTTTCACTAGTATTAACTTTTATTTTGATTTTGATTTTCATTAGATGTAGCATTGGCAAATGTTACTATTCATTTTTGTCTTGTGTTTACTTTCTTCATTAATTAAAGCAGCTGAGCACTGATGAGACATTACAGAAACAAAAGAAACGTAACTTCAGATCTCACCAAGTGCTTACTATATATTTCAGATCTTTGTTGTCTGCTTACTGTTGTAGAATTGAAAGCCTGTCAATTATTATTATTGTTGAGAGCAGTCACGGTGAGAGAAAGGTTAGCAGCTTGGAGTGAAGAATCAAAGAGCTGAGTTTGAATTCCAGTCAAGTTTGTTACATTCACTTATGTGCTAATACTGCTGGAAAAGGTATGAATCCATCTCTTCCACCACCCTAGCTATGGGTTGAATAGCAAGACAGACTGTTTTCCTTTTCCTAGACTGGTTGTCACCCAAGGCAACTGGACTAGGAGTAGGAAAACTCTGAATTCAAAACCACTACGGAGCAAATGATAGGGTTGTTCTTATTGATAATGTTCGCAACCCTGCTCAATTCTTCTTCTTCGTCTTCATCATCATCATCATCATCATCATCATCATCATCATCATCATCATCACCATCAGCAGCAGCAGCAGCAGCAGCACCACCACCACCACCACCCACCACCACCAACAACAACAACAAGAATAATAATAATAATAATAATGTTTCTTTCTAGTGTTTCTATTTGAGAACTTGAATGAAAGTATTTTTTCTGTTTTGGCTTTGTCAGAATATTTTAATCCAATTTAAATTAATTCAATATATATTTCATCAAATCTATATATAGCTCAATCTACATTTAATCTAACATATTCAATTTACTATAATTTAATCCACTCTTAACTTAATAAAATTATATTTAATCTAATCTATATTTTATCCAAAATGCAATTAATCAAAGCATCCAATCAAATTTGATCAAATCTACATTTAATCCAATCAAATGTGATCCTCTCTATTCAAATCTTAATTTAATCAAATGTACATTTAAATCAATCTACATTTAATCCAAGATACATTTAATTTGATCCTATTTAATCCATTCTAATTTAAACAGATAAACATTTAATCAAATCTACATTTAATTCAATCTAAATTCAAGCTAATATATATTTACGAGTAATACATTCTAATTTAACCCATTCTATGTTAATCCAATCTATATTTAATCTGTAGTGAACAATACAAGAACTAGATTTAAAATTCAAATGCTAACCACGGACTCATTGATTTTGTTAGAAATTAAAAAGACTCGAATTTACAAACTTTGCTTAACAGACACGCAAAATCAAATCCAAAACAAAACTTGTGAAATCTCACATCTTGATGCGAAATGTTTTTCGGCCAATAGAAAACTATGAAACATTTAAAAATAGAATTCAAATAATCTTCAATTCTCAGAAACAAATTCTTTTACGGATCTTTCTGCGAGCTGATGCGAAGTTTGTTTGTCATCCAATGGAAAGGCCCGAATAATATCTGGGAGTGAATTCCCAAGTGACCTTTTCAAGCTTCACAAACAAAAAAGATGGGCAAGTTTACAAGTATAATTAAATCTGTATTTAATCCAATATATATTTAATTAGATAATCTATATTTAATCCAGTTTACATTTAAACTAATTTAATTTAATCCAATATATATCAAAATCAAATCCAATCCAATCTAATTTAATCAAATCTATGTTTGATTCAATTTCCATTTTATCCTGTCTAATCCAGTCAACATTTAATCCAATCTAATTTGCATTTAACTAACCTTATATTGTATTTGAAAGTTGTGGGAAGTTCTGTCTGTTCAATTAACATTTTATAATCGTACTTTGAGGTCAGTCATTTGTGTGACTGCTATGTTCTGAGATTTCTGTTGTAAAAGGTCAAAGGCTGAAGGCACTGCAAATGTAACAAATAAACATTTGTATATACTACAAAGCCAAGGGCACCACAACAGGATTTAACTAAGTCTTCATGAATAAATTAACATTAATTAATAATTAATTATTAAGATATTCAAATCAATTTATAAAAATATTAATTAAATAAAATTCCATCAGCACTGTCCCTGTCCAATCTTTGCATCACTGGATTGATGCCATCAGAAATTCGACAGGGAGTTTTGATTAATTTTATGGTTTTTATGGGTTATTTAAAGCTGAAACTTGGATTATAAAAGATTACTTAGATTACCGGTGTCCATAATTGGTTCCCCATCTAAGTACCGATCGGGCTTGACACTGCTTAACTTTGGTGATTGAAGAAGTACCAGTATTTTTAGTCTGATTTAACTGTAGGATTGAACAGGGAGAATACTGGTTGAGTGCATGGTCATGGTGAGGTGAGGAGACGATGGAGAGCATTGATGACATTGTCCAAGGTCTTCGACCCTTAGCAATGAGAATCAGACAAAGAAATGATATTGTTTTATTTCCAGTACTGCTTAACATTGCATCTAACGCATTGGCTGCCAGAGGTCAATTACAAAATCTGACACAACATTGTTGTTGGCGCCTGCAAATGAAAATTTATCGCAAAATGCCAAGCACAAGATGACTTGAAGTTGTTACAAGATAACTTATATTTGGCATGAGATGATTTTTAGTTGGCACAAGATTATTTGTAGTCAGCACAAGATGACTTGTATTTGTTATGAGATGACTTGATGTCAGCACAAGATGACTTGTATTTTGTATAAGATGACTTGTAGTCAGCACAAAATGACTTGTAGTTGGCATCAGAAAACTCATAGCCAGAACAAGATAACTTGTAGTTGGTGTCCTAATAAAAACTGCCAACCATGAGTTATTTTATGATTGGCAGTCTATGTGTTACGATCTTGACTTTTGGATTTTATAATTTTGGGAAGAATCATTATTATTTCAAAAGTTGTTTGGATTATAAAACACATTCTTCATGCTGCCTTTTTTGGGGTGTATTATTCTGCAGAAATAATGGGCAGACACAAAAAATGATGGTTTACATTCTAATATCTTTGGATTCTTCATTGTAAGGTAAACAGACAACACTATTTTCAGCAACTTTACTTTTAATGCATAAATTTATCCTATTTAAGTAAGACTGGAATAGAAAAGGATAAGCAAATGTGATAAAAAGTAAGAGTTTTTTTTAAATATAAGGAAAATCTTTTATTTTTTTGATTGATTGTTTTGTTTTCTAAAACTTCTCAAATATTTGCAGATTATATAAAGCCAGAAAATATTTTTAGATTGTAAGAATTTTTTATGAGATAATAATGGTTTAGTAATACAAGTATTACTAATTAACCCATAGCTGAGGTGGGAAGAAGTGGATTCATATCTAATCAAAATCTGATAAACAAGAAGTTAATGTGGATATAAGGTGGGGGATTAATTCTATATTACAACCAATATATAAACTGATCCATCACTTTGTGACCATGGTAGCTTCTATACATTTATATTTCAGAGAATATAAATTAATCTAAAAGACATTCCTGTGTAGCTAATCAGACTTTTACTGATGGATTCATTTTCTACAGCTCAGCAACCAATTGCAGGTTATTTAAAGCCAGAAAATATTTTTAGATTGTAAGAATTTTTTTTAGATAATAATTCTTTAGGGATACACATGTTACTAATTAACCCATAGCTAGGAGGAGAAGAAGTAGATTCATAACTTTCTCATGGGTATTTCCATGTAAGTAAATATAACAAACCCAATGAGAATTGGAACTTGGCTCTCTGATTAACAATTCTGAGACATTTTCCATTACACCACCCACACATATAAGCCTCTGGTATTCCCAAGCAGTCATCCATCTAATAACTGACCAGGCTTGACGCTGCTTAACTTCAGTAATTGCATGGGGACCTGTGTTTCAAACTGATATGGCCATAAGACTTACCACACCCGGTATTCCCAAGTGGCCACCCATCTAGATACTTACCAGGCTTGACATTGCTTAACATCAGTGATCATACAGGAACTGGTCTTTCAAGATGCTGTGGCCATAATCCCATTATACTGACTGTATATCCAAACTTGCAGCACCTGGTATTCTCAAGTGGTCACCAATCTAGGTACTGACTAGACTTGACATTGCTTAACTTCGGTGATTGTATGGGGATCAGTGTATAAATGTGATGTGACCTTTTGCTCTTTCCGATATTTCTATTTTTTTTTAACTTTTCAGTGGCTGGAGAGGCCATGATGATCTCAATTCACTGGCTTGTGTTATTGCACACTGACATTTAAACTTAACCCCTGTCCATAGAAATTATTGAATAGCGCTGCTTTTGTTTTTCTATTTCAGTGAGATCCAATCAAAGTCCAGTAATGGCTACCTCTTGTCAGTTTCTTTTCAAATCCCCGAGAAGAAAATGACTGGATTGGACGGGCAATTTTCATGTGAAGGTTGTCCAGTCGTTTTACAGCAGGCAAAAGGCAATGCATACGGCAACGCTCACCAAAAATGGTACTATGATGCAGAAACTGGCTACATTCATGCATTTCATGCAGAAGTTCTCAATAAAGGTGAGGTTTTCTGAACAATATGCATAACTGAAAATATTTATGCTATTTACATTTGAACTATTGTCCTCATCTTTGTTGTTTTTGTATTTATTTCTATAATAACCCTATTAAGCAGACCCTCATAGCCTAGAAGCAGCACATATGAGGACCTCCTTAGTAGGCCTAGCATAGAAATAAATATGATATGGGAACTACCAATAGAGAGAGAGAAATGACAGCAAATCTTCAACAACAGCAGCAGTTGTAACAAAGGAGAAAAGCTTGCAGTCAAGTATCGCAAACAGCAGCGGTAACACTCATCAGCAGGCAGGTTTAAGGCTACAAGTTCTCCACAGAAAATTGTCCTACAGGACAATAGCCTAGTGAATTTGTTCATGAATTTGGTGTCATATTGATTGTGAGTTCAATCTTTGCTCTAGGCAGTGTGGACTTGGACTCAGTGGAAATGGGGCAAGCAATTTCTGAGCTGTGGAACCTGTGCTTAATGCACTTTGGCAGTTTTTTGAACATTTGACTTTATATATTATGCCTTGAGGAAGGGAAAGAATTATCCTCTCCTTAAAGATTAAGGAATTTAGCAGTGATTTTAAAATATCAAATGACAAAGACTTGACTTAGATATGGAAACAATGTGCTTGATGCCTTTTAACTTTTTAATATTTAGCACTCTGAATTATTTATAAATATCACTTTGCCTTTTAGTGTATACAGAATCCCCTCAAATATTGTTTCATATATTAATCCTGTATATTTGAAATTGTAGCAGCCTAACACTCAATTTCAGTAAAGATTGTTTTAGCTGTTGCCATAGAAGGATATGACAGCACAAACAAGAAATTCAAATTCAATTTGGATTGACAGCTCTAACATTTTGCTTCAAGAAAATAGTTCCCTACAGAGGGATAAAGCTTAAAATAATGAGTTTTTGAATATAAAAATAATTCATAAATTACTCTTCTGTTAAACTGGGGCACACCTGGCTACCTTTCAGGGCTCATTAGTGTGCCCAGGTGTACCTATTGATAAATGCTGGTCTGGACATTTGTTGCAGCATGTGTTGCTCTAACCTCTTCTCAGTGCAGGACTGAATCTAAATGTGGCAAGGGCTCTTAATTCATCCTGGTTATCCCTACTGGGCCAAGGGGACTAACTCACCTCAGTTATCTACTCACTAGGCAGAGTGTTCTATCTAAAACCCTGTAGTTGGTTCACTTTATTGTAGTTTTTCTCAACAGGATCTATCTTACACATTAAATGTCAACAATTCATCCATGTTTTGATTATTGCTGACATATCTGGTCTGGTGCTTCTGCTATATATTTAGAAATTCTTGATAAAACGCAAAGAAGAATCTGCAATGTTATTGCCCCTGACCTGGCATCTTGGCTTCATTCACTTTACCATAACTATAATGTAGTTTCCTTGTGCCTTTTCTATAAATATTTTCATGGTAATTGTTCTGATGAGTTTTCATCTATGATATCTAGACTTTATAAATTTAAGCACAGTTTGGGATGGCCAAAGACGCATTCCAAAAGTTAGACAGAGTATTACTAGATATGAGGATTTTGTTGCTAACAAAGAAAAGAGTACTGAACTACTATGCAATATCTGTCATCCTTTATGGTAGCAGTACTCGATGCAACAAACGTATGGTCCTACAGAAAGATGCTAAGGATACTATGGACCGAATATGTGAGAAACGATGAGGTTTTGGAGAGGATGCAAACAAGGAGTTAACTTATACTTAACATTGGGAAGAGGCAGCTGAAATTTCTGGGACACATAATGAGAAAGGAAGGCTTGGAGAATCTGGTACTCACAGGGTAGATAGAGGGAAAGTGAGACAAGGGAAAGCAATGTGGGCTTAAGCAAGTGGATGGCAGAACAGGGTCTGGGAGAAGTAGCAAAAGGACAAAACTTATTGAGAACTACAAGGGGATAGGAGGAAGTGGAGAGCCATGATCGTCTGCGTCCTGAAGGAACACAACATATTAAAGAAGAAAGAAGTAGATTGGCAGCAAGATCTCATAATTTTACTGTTGAATTTGCTCGATATAACCATAACTTCTATGCTAATAGTTTCTTCTATCGCACTTCTCACTTGTGGAACTCTGTTCTTTTCTTCTTGCTTTCCAGTCAACTTTGGTCTTCAAAAATTTAAAATCAGCAACAATTATTATCTTCTGTCTTCTTAATTCTTCTTATTTTATTGTTCTCTCTCCTTAATGTTTTTTTCCTCATATTCTCTCACACTCATTAACACCTTGCATCTTAGTGGCTTTATTGCCTTGCTTGGGGTGAAATAATTAAAAAAAAAACAACAAAAAAAAACATCAATTCAAATGTCATTAATTAAATGATTGTCTGAAAGATTAAACCTAAAGAAGGCTGGGGGGGGGGTGATCTCCCCCCCCCAATGAGAAAAAAAATTACCCCCATTGATTAAATAAAGGGTTCAGTTTAAAATGCCCTGAAAGTTACTTGGGTCAACATACACCTGTAGAAGGCTGAGAGGTACAAGGTTGTGATAATAACAATGAAGATAAGGACAATAGTTTTCATCTAGGTAATATAAATAATGATAACTCCTTATCTGAGAAAATCAAACCAAATCATTTAATTGCGATTTTTTTCCTTTCTTCTTCCTGACAGAAATCACGGCTGCCAACCAAACTAATGTCTGCACATTTGCCATCACGTCAGAAAAGAAAATTGACCAACCGGTAAGTCAAGAAGATCAGTGTAGACTCTCATGAAAAATGTCAGTAGAAACAAAGAAAAGAATTCTGAACTGCTAATCTCCTATACAGCACTGAATGCTTTCATAAACTAAACTTATTTTAGAAAAATATGATTAGAAACAAAGAAAAGATTGCTGAATTACTATGTAACATCTAATCTTCCATATGGCAGGGAATACTAGACAATCACTTCATGCCTTTCAGAAACTAAGCATAGTATTAAGAGATGGGAAAACGTTGTTAGAAACAAAGAAAAGAGTGCTTAACTGCTATGTAATAGCTAATCTCCTATATGGCAGTGAATGTTGGATAAACATAATACAAACAGTAATATAAACAGTAATTTGGACTAAACAGATGCTTCTCTGTAGCTAAATGGTATAGCACATCAGATCAAATGATGGTTTCTGTATACACCTGTCAGAGAATGCATATTTTTTAGGGAATTTTTCAAACATTAAATAATTGTTGGACTTAATCCATTTCATTACAAGAAATATTTTTTCACTTTGACGTACATTTTCCCCCGTATATATATATATATATATATGTGTGTGTGTGTATGTGTGAGTAAAAAAAGATGGTGTATATCTGTAAAAGGACAATATGAATAAAGACTAAGATTATATATATATATATATATATAGAGAGAGAGAGAGAGATATAGATAGATAGATAGATAGATAGATAGATAGATAGATAGATAGATAGAGAGTGAGAGGAGGCACGGTGGAGTAGTGAATAGTGGCTTGGATTGATGAATCAGAGAGCTGAGTTTGAATTCCAGTTGGAAAAGATATTAATCCTCTTCTTCTCCCTCCAGCTACGGGTAGTCAAATAGGAGGCGTAAGGGTTAACAATTTGTATTAACATATCAGTCACCCTTGGAAAGAGGGAAAAAAATCTTCAGATACTTAATGCCATACAACGGTGCCAACAACTCTCTGTTGCTAAGACGGACTAGACAATGTGCGTATAGGAATGACATCATTCACTTTGAAATGGACACCCTGGCCCTGCCTTGGTTTGGCCTCTTTCAAAGGGTAACTGATATGTTGATACAAATTGTTAACCCTTACACCCCCTATTGGACTGGTCACTCCAGCCATTTCCATAGTAATTAATTCTACGAATGAATATGCTTATAAAGATGCGTAAACTTCAAGAGTAGTTATTTCAAAAAATATTTTCTTGAGAATGAAACAGAACTTTTAGCTCTTGTTTTTGAAACATGAGAACTCTTATGTAGCAAAGGAATCATATTTTTTTAAAAATTATAATTATAATTTAGGCTCTACTTTTATATTGAGCACTGTCTTTTTAAAAATAAAAACAAAAATACTAAAGAAATTTGTATTATTTTCCTAATGTGTTCTTTCCTATTTTTCTATATATTTGCACACACACACACACACACACACACACACACACACATATATATATATATATATATATATATATATATATATATATAATTTAAAGCATGCCTTATTGTCTACATTCTCTTCTGTTTGCCAGGGTTACAGCATGTGTCTTCAAGAGAAGTCTGGATCAAAAGAAGACCAGCCCAAATTATCCACTTTGTGTGAATCTTGTGCACATGTAATGAGAGGGAAATATCATCTGCAGAAATTGGAGCCTGGCATATCATTCTCCTGTGCCATGGGACAATCCGGTAAGAATGTGAAGACATTATCAAATTGTATAGACACAATCACTGTATCCATGTATAAATCATTAAATTTGTAGAATAGAAACAAAACTATTGATCATATACTTTATTCAAGAAATGGGGATCTTTTGATTTTTAATTGGGTTTATCAAAAAATGATGTCAGTAAGAACAGTTTGGTTTAACTAATTTCATTACAAAAGATTGTTTTTTTTATTATATTTTGACAGCAGTCATAGTAATGGCTATGGTGATACTACCTTTTTCCCTGCAAAGAAACATCTGTCATTCATTGACTGAGCAGCAAGCTGTCTAATGAAATTTGTAATCTCTTAAAACACATTTTTTACATTGAGATGGAGAGACATGTGACTATGCCTTGTCTGTTTCACATATATATATATTTCTAAAGAATTAATATATATAAACATAAAAACAAATGCCAACCACCATCCCTAAATTATTCAAACAAATATCCATATCTATAAATAAAAGTATTTGAACAAATTCTAGTAGACTAAAAATATTCAATGAAAATAAAAAAAAACAAACATATGAATCAGCCCTAAGAAACAGCAAATATTCAAACAAACTAGAAAACAAAAACAATTCAAACAAAGACAACAGAAAAAGAAAAAATTATTTGGTCCACCCACTTCCTACAATAATACAATAAAAAAAATATGGAAAATATTCTTCAAAATAATTCCCTACAAACAGCAAATTGTTAAAAATTATCAACAAAAATACAATCAAAATTAGTTACAACTGCATGGATAACATGGAGAAAATAATAACTAAGCACAATAAAAAAATATTCAACAAAACCAATAACAATAACAACAATAACATCCAGCAAAATAACACCATTAAATGTAACTGCAGAAACAAACAAAATTGCCCACTTCACAATAAATGTTCAACCAATAATATAATATACAAAGCTATCATAACTAATAACAGATAAAAAAATTTACATAGGCACCACAGAAAAAACTTTTAAAGAAATATATTATAGCCATAAAATGTCATTCAAAAGAAAAAATACACAAACAATATAACCTTATCAAAATATATATGGAGCCAAAAAGAAAACAATATCCCAATCCAAAATCAAGTGGGAAATTTCTCCATACAGTATTAACAGTAAAAATAGTAAATTATGCTCAGAGGAAAAATTAGCAATAATTAATTTTAAAAACCAAAATAAACTCTTAAACAAGAAAACTGAAATAATTGGTAAATGTAGGCATATAAATAAATACTTACTCTACCATCTAAGCACTAATTAAAAATTAACAAATAAATATAAATAAAATAAACATAATACATTTAAATAAATAAATAAATGAAATAAATATAATATAAACTTAAAAACAAAAAACTTTCAGTTATACATATAAATACCTATATGTGTGTGTGTGTGTGCATGTACATATAAATACACACACACACACACACACACACACACACACACACACACACACACAAACTCCTACAAACAAACAAACCTACCCACCATAATTAATACCTCAAGATATGACACCAAGGCAAAAACAAATAAACTAGTAACCATTAAATGAAAATAAAACATTAGATAAACAATAAGATATATAATATAAGCAAATACTTACTTTAATACATATACACTATTTAACAATGACATATGTATGTGCATTCAGTGTGTGTATGTGCTGGAGTATATACTATATATAAATAACTTCACTATTTAAGCACTAGTTTATTAATAACAAAGTGCAGACATAAGTGAACATGCATATTTATATGTATATATGTGCATTGTGTATACATATATACATAAATGCATGAATATGCATGTGTGTATGTATAAACATATAAATATGGACGTATGCACATAAATTCAAACAATAATAAATAAAAATTTAATTATAAAATATGTATATGTAAGTATCTATCATTTAATTTTACAATTTAAAATTATTTTTAACATAATTGTTATTTATTTATTTTTTTATGGACATGAGACAGTGACAGTATAATTAATTTTTAATGTATTTTTTATGGACTCAACAAATAAAAGAGATGTTACTTTTGCTGCACATTGAGTACTGATGCTAATAAAATAGTGCTCAATTTATAATAACAGAGCCATAATTTTTATTAATAATTTATATATATATATCGTAATTAAAATAATTGATCCAAGTGCGACTTTTGGATAATAAGTGCGACATTACTGTAATTATTGAACAATATAGTTCATGTCACTTTGACAGAAAATTTACCAGTAAAAAATTTGCTTATCACTATATTTGTACAAGAACGCACAACTGTAAAAAATTTAAAATCAAACTCAGCGTTGCTACTGCGCACTCCAAAAACAATAACTCATTTCCAATAGCATTTTCGGATACAACAATACATATATTTTCGTTGTCCTCTTATTACTAAGAGAAAAAACAAGAACAACATCTATTCCATACCTGAAGATGTCTGTAGGAACAGACGAAAGCTTGTAGTAAAAATAAGAACTAATACGGCAGAAATTTATAGAAACAAGAATCTTTTCATTCATAACGGATTCGGAGGTTTTTGTATATTATTTGAATTGTTTTGCGACGATGGATTTCTTGCCAATTAAATCATTAACCTTTGCATTTGTTTTTGTGTGAATAATTCATGAATATATATATATATATATATATATATATATATTTTTATATATCAAGAACAATATTGGGGGAAAATATTGAAAGAGAATACTGGGGGACATTTTACAAAATAATACATCAAATGGGTTGGTTGCCCACTGTAATGAAACTGACCACAATTTTGACATAAAAAAATGCTACTCTGATCAAAAGAGAAAACAATTCACTATGACAAAAATGTTTAGAGAATGCCTTGATCTTAAGGTCATCTATAGTAAATTTGTGCCCAAGCTCTTATAACATTTCACCATTCCTGGCAGAACTTCTATTATAACAGTGTGGGATATCTACTAACAAAGTAATGAAAAGAAAAAGAATGTAAATGAAATTGGCAAGATAAAAAAAAAAAAATTAAAAATTCCCAGCATCCCTTGTTCATGCACATGTGCAGTTACAACATAAATTTAGCCCGATGGCGTCCTAAAGGAAAAAAGCATTACAAGAAATCTTTTTCCACTTTGTTATACATTTTCCCCATTTTTATATATATATATATATATATATATATATATATATATATATATACACACAGTGTAACCCACATATAAGAGAGTTGTCGGGACCGGAGAAGAAGTCTCTTATATCCGGATTTCTCTTATATCCAGGTTTGGTCTATTTTATATACATTAACACAGGCTCTAATTTGGGACCAGAGAAAATCTCTCTTATATCCGGGTTTCTCTTATATCCGGGTCTCTTATATCCGGGTTACACTGTATATATATATATATATATATATATGTATACCTTTATTTTATTTATTCTTTGTTTTAGGATATCACATCAAAAACATGTTTTTAGATGTTTTCGATATGATATCCTAAAATAAGGAATATTGCTCTACTTTTGTATTGAACCATCTCTTAAATTGAATGTTACGAACATTGGAATTGGACTCTATTCATTCTCATTTTATATGGATATATATGCTTTAATTTTATATTTTGAGAAACTATGAAATGAAATGACATTGGCTTTATAGGATTCTAATATCATCTTATCATTCAATGTCCTAATATTACTCTATCCAAATAATTACATTAACAAGACTATAGGATAATACAATAAAAATGAGGACAATCACTACAAGCAACTCAAATGGCCAGCTGTCATTCACTCTTAGACAACATCAATATTCAATTATTATTTCACCTGTGAGCCTGGGGTTTATTGTTTACTTCCTATAGTGAGAGAAAGGACTGAAGAAACATCTCTTACTCACTGATCATGAAAACAGGTGTGCATTTAAAAAAAAGATTAATTAAATGAAATAATGATAATTCACTCATATCATAACAGCAGAAATTAGTCTAGTGTTCATGGAGATAAAAGCATACTTGGCAAGAAATAAACCATACACAGATAACAGGAAAAGCATGATAAATTGTATATTAATTTTATACAATTTATTTATATTTTTTGTGTATTGGTGTGTGTATTTTTTAAGTTACACTTGTTTTATGGTAGATATGATAAAAGGGAGAATTTACTCTATAGTATTACAAGCCATATCACAGAGAGAAGTCGGACATATGTTCCCCGTACCAAGGTTCATGGCAAAGAGATTGAATTTAATGCCTTTTGGCGGGATGTCTGTATTTCCAGCCGGAACAATTTTTACTGCATGTTGTGATTATTTTTGATTATTTTAAATTTTTATTTAATTTATTTTATACAACATTTTTATGCTATTGTTTTATTTTATTTTATTTATAATTTTCATTATTATTATTATTATTATTATTATTATTATTATCCTATATTTTATTTTTATTTATAATAATAATAATAATATTTTTAATAATTGTAATAATATTTTTATTTATTTATAATAATAATAATGTCCCTGCAGACCATGAGAGCTTTTCTCATTCAGTCATCATAAATTATGAAAATATCTATCATTCAACAGCTGGTGGAAGTTTAAATATGAGGTCAGAAGAATGTGTTTTAGAAAGATAACTCTCTTTGAATTGCAATAAATCCTGTAGAGTTGGCAAATAATGCTAATTTGAATCACATAGGTGTACGTTTTACAAAAAAACCTGAAATGTAATTGCTGGCATTTTTTTTTTTTTTGGTGATGTGAAAATGGAATATCAATGATATGATTTAGCTGAAATTATTTAGAGCATGGCTTGAAACGAGAGTAAAACATAAACGGAGAATATTTCACCTGTCAACGATTTGCTGACAGCATTTGATTATCAGAATGATCAGCTGAATTACAAGAAGAAAGGCTGAATGAGCCGAATAAAGAAAGTCTTGTTAATTTGGCATTCACAAATGAACAGAAATCAAAGAAAAAAATAGCATTAAAAATAATTACAATGAAAATGAGGACAACATTATAATCAGCACAAGTAGCACAGATGGCCAGCTGTCAGTCAGCATTATTATATGACATCAATTATTGCTTCACTTGTTGTTAGCCTAATTGGGCTTTATGGTTTACTTCCTATAGTGAGAGGAAGAATTTGACAAGCTTCTCTCACTCACTGATCATGAAAACAGGTGTATTTTAAAAGAGAAAAAGATTAGTATTTACACAATTTATATTCAGGCTATTGTCCTCATCTTTGTTGTTGTTATCACAACATTTCAGCTGTTTTGCTCTCTGGTCTTATGTGCATATTGTGGGTGAATAGGTTGTCTTTCTTATGCATGTTGGTGGTCACCATAATGTTGTGAGGTCTCACTCACATCATAGCAGCATAAATTAGCCTTGTGTTCATGAAGATAAAAGCATACTTGACAGAAAATAAAACACACAAATAACAGGTAAAGCATAGTAAATTGTATGTTAATTTCATACAATTTATTTATATCTTTCTTGTGTGTACTTTTTAGGTTACAATTGTGTTATGGTACATGTGATAAAAGGGAGAATTTACTCCATAGTATTACAAGCCATATCACAGAGAGAAGCTGGACATGTGTTGCCCGTACCAAAGTTTGTGGCAAAGAGCTTGAATTTAATGTCTTTTGGCGGGATGTTTGTATTTCCAGCAGGAACAGTTTTTGTTACATGCTTCGAGTATTTTTATTATTTTTAATTTTTATTTAATTTATTTTATACAACATTTTTATGCTATTGTTTTATTTTATTTTATTTATAATTTTCATTATTATTATTATTATTATTATCTTATATTTTATTTTTATTTATTTATAATGCTAATAATATAGCTGGGGTAGAAGAAGAGGATTCATAACCTTGCCAAGGATATTAGCTCGTAGGTTAATGTAATGGATTCGAGTGAAATTTGAACTTGGCTCTCCAATTCCTCAATCTGATCAGCTATCCATTGTGTTTAAATTCATAAAGTCTAGATACCAATGAGAAAAGTTCAGCATTGTGAAACCGACTCCCAAGAGGATGCTTCCCTGATCACTGCAATTTTAACCTGTTTATGTCTAGAGTTAAACATTACCTTCCCTACATATCTGCATAAACTACACCTCTTACCCGGTAACCCTCTATCTCAAGTGGCTCTTGGGCCTTATAACCATGAACATCACTTTAATAAAACACTTCTCATAGGTGTTGTCATTTTTTTTTGATCAGATAATCTGCAGTATAGACCAGCTAAATGCCAAGCCTTAAACACAATATGAAATAAAATAATATGTTGCAAAATAAGCTAGGTAATTTTTAACTTTCATGCCCACAAAACAAATAAAGAATCAAAAGGATGTTTTTTCCTTGACACCACTATTATTTTAACTACCTTCACTCCTTGGCAATGTTTATTGTTTTAAAAAGTGAGGGTTAGAATTGTAATAAAACCTAAACATATGAAAGTGAATTTATAATTTTCTTTGTTCTCGAGAATTGACAACAAAAATAATAGACTATTTATTAGATTGTTTATTTACACTATTCATTTATTATATTTTTTATTGGAATTGTTGGCAAAACATTGACTAATCAATTCAAACTTTATAAAATAGTAAATAATAAGGATTTCATTATAGTTGGTTCATATATTTTAATAATTTACTAAATGTTTATAAATTCATGAATTTACATTGAAAACACTTTCAAGCTTCTTCAGTTTCTTAATTGCTTTATATTCAATGTAAAACAAAAGGCTCATAAAATATTCCAAAACAGAAAAATGGCCTCTACTGACAAACCCAATGAATCAAATAATATATTGTCCTACCAACTAGCGCTATCACATCTACAGTTGGAAAGAATCTATCTAAACTCAACATAAAATTTGTCACTACTACATCTTTTATTGTTTTAATAAAAAGAGTTAGTCAATACTAAACAAAACAATAAATTAGGTCTTGAAGGAAGAATTTACTTGATTGCCTTTAATAATTGTCACAAAAAATACATAGGAGAAACGTCAAGGAATCTGGACGAAAGATTATATGAACACAAGAGGGACATTTTTACAAGACAATACATCAAATGCGTTGGTTGCCCACCGTAACATAACTGACCACAATTTTGACATAAAAAATGCTGCTCTGATCAAAGGAGAAAACAATTCACTACGATGAAAATTCTTAGAGAGTTCCTTAATCACAGGGTCATTCACAGTGAATTTGCGCCCAGGCTCTTACAACATTTCACCATTCCTGACTGAACTTCTATTATCACAGTGGGGGATATCTACTAACAAAAGTGATGGAAAGAAAAAGGATCTAAATGAAATTGGCTAGATTAAAAAAAAAAAAAAAATTAGAAATTCCCAGCATCCCATATTTGTGTGCACCAACATAAAAATTTCGTCCAATGAAGTCCTAAAGGGGGAAATGCATCAGTAGAAAGTTTTTTCCACATTGTCATACATTTTTTGCCAAATTCATGAATAAAAAATTGTTTTCATATTTATTTCTTTATAAATTGGTAAATGATAAATATTGCATTGCATTAGTTTTAATACAACTGTGTTTGTTTTTAGAATGTTGTAAGTCTAAAATTATTCTTGTGAATAAACAATCTAATAAATAAATAATGTTTAATATTTTGTTTTAAATTCTTGAAAACAAAGAAAATGTATAAATTCTAATCATTGCTTTTTAAAGCAATAAACATTGCCAAGGAGTGAAAGTAGTTAAAATAAGTGTTGTCAAGAGAAAAAAACATCCTTTTGATGCTCCATGTTTTTGCAGGCATGAAAGTTAAAGATTGCTAGTGGCTGAATTGTATGTCGACGCAAGTATTGCAATAACACTAAATATTAGTTTATAACCTAAATGCCAGGGAATGGCTTTCTTCAAAGTCTTAAAAATTTATATGTATGTTGATTGCTATGTAAGTTTTGTAAAAACATGTAACTACAAGATATTTATATCAGCAGCAGGTAATATAAGTTACATAAAAAATATAAGTATGTCCACAGTAGTAGAAGTGTTAATGAGCTCTGGCAGAACTGGTTAAAGTGGCTGCTCTATCTATTGTCATCACTGACAAATGAATGTTCTTTGACTGGTGGAAGTTGGTTGGAGTAAAGAAACAAATTAGACACTGGTTTGGAGAAATGACCAAAGATTTATTTTCATTTACAAAATATAAAAATTGTCTCTGGTAAGTTGTATAGTGTGGCATTCAAACGTAGTGTACTTGGTGTGAAATGAGAGTATGCTTAACCCATCTGACTGCTTGTTGGCTATCAGTTTGGGCTTGTTGTGTTGATAGTGGAGTTTGTTCTACTTCTGTGTTCAGAGGAGGTCGTTTTCACAGCCTAATGGTCAGATGGGCAGTTAGCCATGCTCTTGGTAGCCTCTATGATTAGCATGTCTGTGTGAAGTCTTTCTCTCTCACTCTCACTGCTCTCTGTCTCCTGTCTGGCTTCTATTATATCCTATATAAGCAAAACGCATGGACGTAGTTGTAGACATCTGTGGCAAGTAAGAGTCAGGTCAATAATGGTCAACACTCTGGTATATTAGTGTTTGTTTTAAAATTTTTTTGTGTAAAGTGTGGAGTGTGTGAGAGTAAGATAGATGAAAATTGGTGTGTAGTTAGAGATAAATGTTTTTAATAATTGTATAAATTTGGCTTTAATTTTTTATCCCTTTTTGGGATTTCACCAGTTTAAGTCTGTTTGAAAAGATAAGTAATTACCATTGTAGAAAAAAAAGGATAATTCAGTGATGTGATACAGCGTGAGAAAAAAAGAACGAAACCAAACCATTGATATCCAACAACATGGGTACAACAAAAGAAAGAGAAGAAAAGAAGGTTTAGAATAATAGTGCTGCAAAAAATTCTATTTTGCGGACTTATCTTATCACAGAAAAGAAACGTCCTGTTAACAGTTTTTGAGGTCTTGTGATTTCTTGTTGTTGTGGTGATGGTACGACAATGTATCAGTGTCTGAACTTCCTGAAGAATGAGAAGATACTTCTTCACTTGTAGTAGGCTCTACAATCACGGGTTCCACAGATCTGTTGATAAGTTCTTTTTTTCTGAGAGCAGTGTTTTTGTAGGTACTACTCATTAAAAGCCAACATGGGATAGAGGAAGAAATATTCAAACATGGCATTCAGATCAGAGCCTGTTCAAAAGGGGTTACTCTAAAAGACTTGTAATAATTTCAATACTCTATGTGAATTGTGTTTTTCTGCTACAAATGTAGATTTTTCTCTTGCAGATATGCTTAAACATCATGGAAGTTTCCAGATTTTAAACAGCAAAGTTGATTTGTCTAGCCACGAAGCGCTGTTGACTCTGCAACATTGGGAAGAGAGGATCAAGCAGCTGCGGGAAATAACCAACGTGCATACAATTGCCACGGAGATTGCAGAAACACAGAACGTGCGTACAGTCAAGTTGTTGGCCTACAAAAATGGAGATGGACGCCTCAGGAGTGGCCAGCTCATCATTGGATCAAGTATCGAAGGGGTCAGTATCAATGAGAATTGCATCGAGACAAATACAGGTTGAGTATCCTTTATCCAAAATTCTCAAATTTGAAAACCTCCAAGGTCTGAACATTTTTCAGGTGTTGACATGACTTGCCACAAATGGAAAAGTTCAGAAATTACAGAGAAGGTCCTTAGGCAATGTTCAGCTGTTGTAATTGACCTCATCTGCCCTGGACGCAGGTTCCCTGGCCCAGTTACATAACCGATGTTGGGGCCAGTATTTTGTTAGCGATCATCACAGCAACATCTTTGTGCATGGATTACTTACTAGGTGGTTTGTGCTCAGTAAAGATATTATTCAAAATGTCAAAATATTTTTGTAAGTTGTCATCATATTTTTTTTGTCCATGTACAGAAAATACAAAAGATTATTTTTATGTGAAGTCTTAATATCACCATTTAGAAATCTGTGTGAGCATTACATGACTGATATATTTACCTGTATCTGTATGCACACAAAATTTATTAAATTTTATATAAAACTATTTTCAGGGTATATTTGCAGGTCGGGGACACTAAAATCAAGCATGTGTGGAAGTTTAAATATCTGGGAAGTGTCTTGACGGAGGACGGTAGGTGTGACGCTGAGATCCGAAGACAGATTGGGATGGGCAAGGATTCATTCCAAAAGCTAGGCAGAGTCTTACTAGACAGGAGGATTTCTTTGGTGACAAAGAAAAGAGTACTGAGCTGCTATGTGACATCTGTCCTCCTATACAGCAACAAATGTTGGATGGTCTCCTCAAAGATAAAGAAGAGACTCAAAGCGGCAGAGATTTGGTTCTACATGCTAAGGATATCATGAAGCAAGCATGTGAGCAATGATGAGGTTTTGGAAAGGATGTAAACAAGGAGGAAGCTTATACTTAACATAAGGTGGAGGCAGATGAAATTTTTGGGACACGTAATGAGAAAGGAGGGCCTGGAGAATCTGATACTCACAGGTCAAATAGAGGGAAAAAGTCAAGGGAAAGCAATGCATGACATACTTCGCAGGCTCAAGCAAGGGGGAAGTGGAAAGCCATGATTGCCTATGTCCTGAAAGGATATGGCACATAAAAAGAAAAATATAAAACTACCTTCAGGGTATATATATATATATATATATATAAGCTGTGTTATGAAATGTAAAGGGGTATCGTGTTTATGTTTGGGTTTCATAACCAAGATGCCCCATTTTATAGATGCTATATACAAATTAAATAACCTGTATTCCAAAATCCCCCCCCCAAAATTAGAAAACCAAAGCACTTCGGTCCCAAGAATTTTGGGTAGAGGATTCTCAACCTGTACGATAATAAATCAGTCAGGGCACCTTGAGGCGGTGTAATGATTAGCAAGTTTGGCTCACTAAAACAATTACGACTGAGTAGTGAGTTCGATCCTCACTGGGTGCCCCCTAATTTCGGCCTTGTGCCACATATAAGCTACGCTTGGAAAATATAATAATATAAATATATAATAAATCAGTCATATTAATTTTGATAAAATCATCTGAAATACTAATGAACTGAGCTTGTGGGATTATTTCCACCCTGGAGAGTGAAGCATTGAAGAATTTGCTTTTGAAGAACTACTGCTTTGTGGAACAATCTCCCACTTGGATACTTTCCGAAATGCTACATTTTCAAACTCTTCAAGTCAAGGGGTGGTCTTTACCTATCCTCAATATCCTTATTATCTCTTCACTTTCTACTTTTATATTAATGACACACACCTCATTCAATAACACTCTACCTTGAGTGGCTCTTGAACCTTTGTACTGTTTGAGCATTAGTAAAAAAAATACCCAAAACTGTTTTCTCAAAAGATGATGATATTCATCCCATGTAGACATTTGAACTTGTTTGTTTTTTCTTATGATTGTAGCTTCTTCAGCAATGCACTCAGCGCCTTGGTTTGGTCAATGCTGCTCGAAGGATGTATACAGAAGATGGCAAACTCATCCTGAAAGTGGATGACCTTGTGAAAGGAGCAGTTGAGAATTGCAAGTCAGTGTTTGAACATCAAGTAGATAAATATATTAATGACAAACAAAGTAAGTTGTCTTGATTATGATCTAAAAAGGTTTCCAGTTAGTATCTGATAGTTTTTATATTTATTTTTATTTTACCATAAGGGTCAACCGTTGCAAGGCCCTAGGGGCCACTCATGGTAGAGGGTTACATTTGGAGGCAATTAATGCAGATAGGAGTGGAAGATAATGGTTAACTCTAGCCTTGAATAGGTTAAGATTGTAGTGATCAAGGAAATATCCGCTTGGAAGTCAGTTCCACAGATCGGTGGTTTGCCAAAAGACGCTGTTCAAGTGGAACTTACTTCTCACCGGTGGAATATGGAGGGAATGTGGGTGGTTTGCTACTATATAAGAGGAGTGGTGTTTTTTAAATTGACGTGACTAGAGAATGTAGTTTGTCCAAGCATTTTCCATGGAATTAGCAATAGAGCAGCGAGAGGCTTGCCACACCCCACCTGTAGGAAGGTTGCAGGGTGGAGAATAATTTATCACCGACAAGGGCTCAGAGGTGCTTTTGAACTCTATCAAAGTGAGGTCTATGCAGCTTCTGTTCAAATATGATAACAGCACTCCATGGCCTGATCTGGGTCTTGTAAAGGTAAAGGATATCAGGAGGAGCCAGGTACCTACTGGAGCAGGACAGGGAGCCGACCATTTTACCTGCATCCTTAACAGTGGATCACATGTATAAGTTATACTTAACATCAGGAAGATACAGTTGAAATTTCTAGGGCACATGAGGAAAAAGGGCTTGGAAAATCTGATACTCACAGGACAGATTGAAGGCAAGATGGACAGAGGAAAACAATGCATAACATACTTAGCAAGCTTGAGTAAATGGATGGCAGAACAGGGTTTAGGAAAAATAACAGAAAGGTGAAATGTATTAAGAGCTACAAAGGACAGGAAATTGTGGAGAGTCATGATCACTCATGTCACTTAGGAGATATAGCACATGAAGAAAGAAATAGTTGGACAGTTTTATCCATGTTCTATCATTACAAGAGTTAGATCAGACCAAAATTGGCATAGTGTTGCTATATCTGAGCTGGAGCTGATCAATCCTCCCTTTGCAGCCTTGACAGAGTTCAAAAGCATCTATGTGGCTTGGCAGGTGATAAATTGTTTTCCATCCAACAATCTCTTCACAATCCTCATTCTATACTGTCACTATTTCCATTGAAAATGTTCAAATATGCCCCATTCCTTAGTTCCACCAGTTCAGACCTTTACAACTAAGACCTACCATGCCACTTCCATATGGTTGAATCATTCTTATTCCTTTTGTATTCCACTGGTTTTATTTGGTTTTATTGTTTCTGTAGTAATATGAGTCAGTTGAGGTCTTGTTAAATTAAAAACAGTGGGATCTGTTTTATGTAAAAATGGAAATGGAACATTTATTTTCAACAAATGGTTATCAGTAAGTGAAGTCAACTTTAAAGTACAGAGCAAGAGGCTCAGACAGACAAAAAGTCATTGAAGGAAAATATGTTACTTATTTAGATGAAGATGGCAGGGCAAAGGAAATTGTTATCTATAAAACTGACTATCCCATGAAAAGCCACACAGAAGGATGAAGTGAGCCTTGGAGAGCAGACAGGGAAGACACCCACTAGACTGTGCACCTCACTCCTCATCTCAACGTTGCTCACTTATAGCAGTAGGTTACAACCCAAGAATAAAATCTGATTTACTGCTAGAAATTGTTTTGTTTTTTCATTTGTGAGTAATGATCTGGATGAAGGTTAATTTTTAAGCCACAAGCATTTAACTGGAAGAAATTGCACACTGTTAATGAACCTGGTGTCTGGTCTGAACTGTAATGCAAAACTTCTTCTCAAGAGCTACTATTTTATGGAACAGATTCCTGAGAGGATGATTCCATGATCATTACAATATTAACCTTTGCAAGTCTCAGATCAAGCATTACCTACTTTCAATGACCTTATTTAGTAACACTCTACTTTGAGTGGCTCTTGAGCCATGTATTTGGTTAAAAACAGTCATTTAGTAATAAAAATATTTATATACCATCAAACATTGTTATTTTGATTTTGTAGTTAAAATTTCCTTTCACTTTTATGGATTAAAATTTTGATACATGAATTTGTTATCAATATTTTTGATCCTCATGGGATCATCTTTGTTCAGGTGTTTTTAATAAACTGATCTTGATAAAGATGCTGGTCCAAATAACAAAGCATAAAATAATGATAATTCCACATCTCAAAAAATACAGATAAAGATTATTAAATCGGTACGAGCCGAAACGTTGTGAGTATAGCAACCAAGATAAAACATGCAGGTTCAAATAGCAAATTGATAATTCTTCATCTCAAAGATATTGATAAAGATTATTAAATCGGTACGAGCCGAAAGGTTGTGATTATAACAACCAAGATGAAGATGCTGGTCTGAATTGCAAAGCATATAATAATGATAATTCCTCATCTCAAAAATACTGATAAAGTGATATTTGTTTTGTTTCATTTTTCTTGTCCAGATGAAGAAAACAGACTAAACAATTCCAGAGAAAGTTGTGAATTGCAACCAGAGAAGGAACAATTGTCTGGTAAAGGAATACAGTATTTTCAAATTTATTTAGTATTTAATCTCAAAAGTTGCAAAATGAAGTGTCTTAGATATATATCACCTGAAAGTGTTGCAATAAAAAGCAACAGCAATAAGATGAAAAAAAAGCTAGTCAATCTAATAAATAAAATGAATTGCACCTGTGTTTGTCATTTGTTTGTTTTTAAATCTTGGCTAATCATAAACAACCTGAAGTAACAGATAGTAACTATTGTAGTTATTAAATAAATTAAATAATTAACTCATTTAAAATTAAATTTAAATATCAAACAGAGTGAAAGGTTTAAAAAAACAATTCTTTATTAATTCTTTAATTTTATTTTCTGTTGCAATTTCAACTGATATCGTCAAATTAAACCATAATTAAAACTTAGGTGGGCCACGGTATATTGCTTATATGTTTTTTTTTCTTTTTCTAGCATGCACACTGTGATGTATTGGAAATTTTATATAGTTTGGGTTCCCTAGTGTCTTTTAAGAGTGACTTTATGTGAAGGGATCATAAAGAATAGTGATATTAAAAGAAAATAAAAATTGTGTGCAAAATAAATATAAAAAAAACTTCAGAGATTGGTTGTGTATATGAAGAAAGATGATGCCGAATTAAGGTGTTAAATAAAGATAAAATAATTCTTATAATTTTTATGTACATAGGACATTGAAGGTAAAAGGCTGAAGGCTCAAGAGCCCTCCGCAGAAGCTAACCTAAAGTGCATCTGAAGGGCAGCATCTAGGCTAGTTATTAATAAATCTTCTTTTATTTTTTAAGCGATCCCAATATCTTAGATTGTTGTTTTGGGTTTCCGGTTGTCATTTAAAGCTAAGGTATCCTGTGTTGAAACAAAAACTAAGTGTTGAATTGGTTGGGAAAATAAACAAACGAGAGAGTGAAACAAAGTGAGATAAAACTTTTGGCAAACTTGGACCTTCGTGCACACAAAAAAAAACAGAGTGTCAAAAGGACTGCTATTATTTTAACTACCTTCACTCCTCAGCAATGTTTATGGTTTTTCAAATTGATGATTAGAATTGGAATAAATCCTAAACATATGAAAGTGAATTTGTACATTGTCTTTGTTCTTGAGAATTGACAACAAAAATAATAAATACTATTTATTTATTAGATTGTTTAATTTTTACATTAATTTTTAATTAACTTTTGAGTCCTAGGTCTAATATTCTTTTGATGTTAATTAAAGACTCCCACGTGGCTTTCATTTCTATGTTCTGATAACTTCATCAGTAGGCCTAGGATAGAAATGGGAATAAAAAGCAACTGAAATTTAGTTGACTTCTTTCCTTTTTTCGGAGGCTGATATGTCTAAATGAGGGATGAACACTCACCTGCATTCTTGAAAACAGAGCATATACTTGACACTTTCACTAACGATTGTAGATTTTTTTACTATTATTAATTTTAATTCTTGCATAAACCTTTTGCTTTGTCTTGAATTTATATCTCATCATAACAATGTATATTAATTTTTTAGTTTTTGGCTCTTAATTAGTGGCTCCTATGCAGTATTCATTTTTATGCTCTGATAACCTCATCAGTAGGCCTAGGATAGAAATTACAATTAAAAGCAAATGAAATTTTGTTAACTTTCTTCTTTTTTTTAATATTCTTGAGGAGAATGATGTATCTCTATTGAGATGGGAATGAACACTCACCTGCATTCTCGAAAACAGAGCATATACTTGACACTTTCAGTAATGATTGTAGATTTATGTACTATTATTAATTTTAATTCTCCCATAAATATTTTACTTTTTCTTGAACTTATGTCTCATCATTTTAATTTTAATTTAATTAATTTTTGAATGTAGTTTTCATTTCTATGCTCTGATAACCTCATCAGTAGGCCTAGGATAGAAATTACAATTAAAAGCAAATGAAATTTGGTTAGCTTCCTTCTTTTTTTTTTTTTTTTTTTTTAATTTTCTTTCACTTGTCAATTGTTTTTACTTGTAGAGGGGGATCAAAAAGAAACAGAGAAATTGTCCAAAGAAAGAGAGCTGTTCCTGAGCAAAGTGTCTTTGCCACCATTGAATGTCATCTTAAATTTCCCAATTGAGGTATGGGTGTCCAGTGGCCGTCAGTTCATCTCCCCAGAAGGTGAGTTACCATTAACATTCAACTATCGATTCTATAACGTAAAAGACAAACTTAATTTATATATTTATTAGTCAAGCATAACTTCTTCTCAGTAATGAGATATCATACTGTTATGGTAACAGAATTTATTACTTGATATCAAACAATAAGCAAATATATGTCCTGTTAGTGTGATAATAAAATAAGCATATCCCATCATCCCTCTTGTTTGTAATCATCCATTACTATAAAATAAAAATAAAATGTTTCCAGTGCTAAAACTGAATTAGTCAAATAAAGCTTCATAAGCTTCTACTTAGAGTTGTTGCTATATTACAGTTATCATAACAAGAGAATAATTCATAAGTAGGGTAGTTCAGGATGTTAATACAGTTTTCTATTTCTTTTGTGTTAGTTTTATTTGGTTATTTTTATATTCAATGATTTCAAAAATGGAATTCATTCTTACATGCAATAAAATTTTATATATGATGAGGCTATTTAAGAACTGAACTTGAGTTCTCAGGTTAATATTTTGGTTTTGTAACATATCATGGTGTTGGACAAAACTATGCAAAACATAGCTTATCTCATGTTCAATTTCCTTATCTCTTATACTAAATTTCTTATAACTAATCCATGTACCAAGGTATTTGAAATGTTTACTATTTATTAATTCCACATCCTAAATTTTTATGTTAGATTCAGGACAGGTTCCATGTTGGTGTTGTCACTATATCATACTGAAAAGGAAAGAAGAAAAAAGAGGAAGAAACAGAAAGTGTCCGGTATTTATAGCTGTTTAGCTGCACCACCTAACTGCGTCTTGGCAAACCTGACCTTGTTATCATTGCGATACTGGTTCCAAGCCAAGTGTTTTTTCATGTTGAGGACAGATGATAGTCAAATGGAGCCAAATAAGGAAAATAGGGAATGTTATCAACCAGTCCAAAGTCACAGTTATGCACAGCAGCCATTGACTTGTGTGCTGGAACATTGTCCTGGTGTAATAAGATCCCTTTTGTCAGTTTTTCTGGGTGTTAGGTCTTGACAGCCCTTCCATAACAGCTTCAGCAACTTGGCATAGTACTTTCCTTCAATGGTGTGGCACTTTTGAAGATAGTCAATAAACACAATGTCTTTTGCATTCCAAAAAACTGTGGCCATCACTTTCCCTGCAGATAAATGACCTTGGCCTTCTTTGGAGCAGGTGAGGAAAGCTGTTTCCACTGTACTGATTGTCTCATTGTCTCTGGCTCAAGAGTGGTGAAATGTTTTTAGGAAACATTCAAGAAAACCAGCCAGATCTGCCTCAAACAATGTCATATTTTACCATTTGATCAGGTATCAGAAAATGTGGCACCCACTGAGCAGAAACCATTGTCAAGCCAAGTTCATTGTGCAAAATATTCCCAACTCTCTCACAGATTATGCTAATAGCATTAGTTGTTTGATTTATAGTCAATCGCCTATCATCCATCACCATGTGGTTAGCATGATCAACATTTTCCTTGGTGGTGGTAGTTGCAGGATGTCCAGACCTTGGGTTATATTCAAGACCTTCACTTTCCCACTTTTGTTGATAAAGTTGGAGCATCATCCCCTACTATCACAACCATTGTCAGCATAAATATCTTTGGGAGATAAACCCTTTTTTTGCAGGTACTTGAACAAACCACAATGCCAAATTTTGTTCATTTTCAATAGAAGTGCTACTAGTTACTTTTGAAGTCTTCTTTGAATAGTTCAGATTTTAGTTTGCCTGGAAATAAAAAATGCAGTTATTAATAAAAAGCATTGAAATTAATGCATGCAGATTTTGCTGCTCTAGCACCACTGCTTCATAGTCAGCCTATGAACTTTTCAGCCCGCACTTGTACCTAGAAAGAAACAATGCAGTTATTAATGAGAAGCAATGAAATTAATGCATGCAAGATTTTACAGCTCTGTCATCAGTCCTTCATAGTCAACCTATGAACTTTTCAGCCCATCTACGTACCTAGAAAGAAACAATGCAGTTATTAATGAGAAGCAATGAAATTAATACATGCAAGATTTCACTTCTATAGCATCACTTCTTCATGGTCAGCCTATGAACTTTTCAGCCCATCTATGTACCTAGAAAAAAACAATGTACTTAGCCTACAAACCTTTCTGTCCACCCTTGTAGCATTAAAATCACCATTAAGGCACAGTTTTCTGTTGGTGTCTGCTGCATAAAGTTTAGTCAATTTGCAGAAGTTATCTTTTTTGGATACAACACTTTTTAAGATGGAGTTGAGAGTGATATCACTCAGAACTTACAGGCACACAAGAACAATACCAGTAGGCTTCAATCTTTCTGATTGGCATCAGATATTGTCTGTTACAATATCTAATGATTCATAGTGAAGTTTATTTGGTGTTGCTTGTCAGGAAAAAAGAAGAGAAAAGAAAATACAAAAAATTTCTTGGTTTTATTATGAGACACCATTTCTTATTTACCAGATTTTTGTGTCTGCATTTTTCCTCAGTAAAAAGTTAACGACATTACAGAGAAAAAATTAAAATGTCATATTATATGTACAGAGACGACTCAGTTCACAGGTTTATTATTGTTATTTAACAGGCATTTTATACAACAAATCTTATATCTTAATTTTACTTAAGATTTACAAAATATTTCTAAGGATAGATTAACAATTTCATAGCTTGACATGTTTGTCTAGTGTCTACATTTGAGAAACAAGAAAAAGACTAAATACTTGACTGGCTGCAGGGAATAGTTTTTTGTTTGGGCAAATGAGCCTACACATTGGGTGAAGGAAAAATGGAAGAGAGAGTTTCTTTTTGAAAGCATGTATTTTAAAAGATGCCAATCAGCTGCTAGCTGCTGCTACTACATATTTTCTCTACAGCCAATCATCTATGTTTGGAGTTACTCCCAACAGAGAGTAACCATGCTTTGAGCTGTGTCACTTTTCACTATATAAGCACATTCTATATGTTCACAGACCTACACCTGATTGAAATTTTGAAAAAAAAATATGGTCTACAAAAAAATTTAAATTATATCTTGTGTACTTAGAATTATGGACTTTAAATATTTATTTGCTTTGGTTGATTTTGTTTAGTGGTATATCAATCTCTCTTTAAATATTTGACTCTGTTTCAAACAAAACTTTTATTCTTCCTATAAATGTTGTCCATTATTTCAAATATTATATTTTAAAAGCAATTAATTAATACATTACTTTCAAAGAGAAATTTAGCAAAATGATTGATTCTATATTTTCCAGTAATTTTATCTTGCACTATTCTCTTGTGTATTATTTTGCCGGAATTCTTGTTTGATGAACTTCTTATTTGTTTGTTCAAGTTGTTGAATCTAAAGAAGAGAATCGAAGAAAGAAACGTTCTTTGTGTGCTGATATTGCACTGGAATTGGATCTGCAGAAACACATCCTCCGACAAGTGAAAGGCAAGTATAACACCTTCAAAAGAAAACTACTCTCTTTTAATCATCTTAGAAGACCTTTTTTTCTTTCCATCAGCATGGCTAATGCTAACCTCCACTAAAATAACTCATCATTCTTTCTCAGTCTAACATTTTTCACTGACATGAAGTGTGACAATTTATATCAAGTCAATTGCTAAGTTTTCTGCTATGAAAATTGGTTCACTGGGGCGTTATCCTTTCGGGTGGTCTTGGCTTCTCCAAAATTTTTACTAATTGTTATATTTTTTACTGGGTTTTATATTTGCAAAATACAATAAAGAAAGAAATAAAAGAAAGAAAAAACTATTGAAGCAAGGAAGAATAAAATATTTTTTTCCTTCCTAGCAGACATTCAAATAAAGATGAAGAGTTCTTTCCTTTTTAATACAGTCCTCTCTATTTCTAGAGGGATTAGAAATTTTAAATGTTTTTGCTGCTAACCATGTTGGCAGCCTTTCATAACTTACAGCTAAATTCTAATTTTTTTTTTCCTTTCCCAAAACATTTGTCTCTGTTACAGCCCTGAACGCTATAGGTCAAATTTAATAATTAGTCATATTCGTATCTTTGTTAGTTTAATTAACTCTTATTAAGAGAAGATGTTGAGACTATTTAACCTTGTATTAATGTATAGCATTCAGTTTTTGAGAGAGTGTTTAGAAGCAGCCCTAAGATCACCATTAGCCAGCAAAAAGAACTAAAGATTTATGGATGCTTTACTCAGTAATGGGTTATCATCATCATCATCATCATCATTGTCATTTTCATCATCATCTTCATCGTCGTCATCATCATCATCATCGTCATCTTCATTAACATCTTCATCATCATCATCGTCATCATCATCATCATTGTCATTGTCATCATCATTGTCATCGTCATCATCATCATCATCATCATCTTCATCGTCATCTTCATCATCATCGTCATCGTCATCGTCATTGTCATTGTCATCATCATCATTGTCATCTTCATCATTATCGTCATCGTCATCATCATTGTCATCTTCATCATCATCTTCATCGTCATCATCATCATCTTCATCGTCTTCATCATCATCATCTTCATCATCGCCATCGTCATCATCACCATCATCATCAAGACAATGATAATAAAATAAAGAGTAAGTCCCCCGGGCTTGAAGTGAGCTACTAAGTTAGCTTTGAAAAGGCACTCCCCCATCCAATTTTAGGCAATTTTTCGAAGGTGGAGGTGATGGTGGTGGTGTGGTAAACATTTGATCTACAGTGTACATCAGTTAACAATGATTATGAGCAAATATCATTAGATTAAAATGCTTTTCCACAAAATATTGTTTTACCATAAGCCTTTATATGTTGGCTTTCATGCCAGGTCGACGGTTGGAAGAATTAAATCCTGGAGACTACAAATCGACACAGAGCAGCAAGCAACCTGTTGTTATCACTGGACACTGGGCACAACCTACGAATGAAGAATGTGAAAGACAGGACAAAGTTCACAAGCTGCAGGTGAGAATTTATTTTGATTTCATTTCAGAGAAATGGCACTAAAAATGATATCATATTTACCAGTTGGGAATATATATGATTTAGAAGTGGATTTTGAAGATGACTGTTAGTGATCATTCATTCATCCAAACTGTTTATTACTATTATAAATATTAGATAGATAGATAATAAACAGGTTGATATATATATATATATATATAAATATATAAATATTTCAGTAAAAACGACAGACAAGGTACTACAGTTAAGCTTTTTATTTAATTTTTCTTGTGTCCAAACAAGAGCTTTCTTTTCTGGACAAAGGGTGTTTAAGAACTGTCCAAATGTTTCATATTTCCAAGTGCTTTCAGCTAAACCTTTAGCCATTATGAAGGATAATTCAATTTTTCAGCTTACTTGAGTGTGTGCGTTATGTGTATGTCTTAGTGTGTGGTAGGGGTGTTTTTAATTTTCAAATACGGTTAGCACATTGTGGCTTTGTTTGTAGTTAATATTGTTAAGAGTTGGCTTTTTCTTTTTTATTATTAAAGCTTCTATTAATTTTAGTCTTTTTTTGCAGGTGGATGCAGTTAATATATTTGTTTTCTACTAGTATGTTTCTAATGGAGTCTGTTAAATTTATGTGTGTGTTTAAATGGGTTCTAATGGAGCTGTGATCAGATAAGTGTAACGTAAGACGTCTGGATAAGCATGTAGTCGTGTAACCGATGTAATTATTTATGAGTCCAGTTTGATCAGGAACACAGTTCCTTAAGGGGCATTTGAACTCATAGATAATGTTCGTTCTTTGAAATTTTGACTTAGCTGGTGTGTTGTTATTTTTGAGGATCCTCAGAAATAACAACACCCCAGCTAAATCAAAAAATATATATAAAGAGAGAGAGATAGAAAATGTAAAGCTGATATATATATATATATATATATATATATATATTGCCCTCACCAGTAGCATAGCTCAGAGTTTCATGCACAATGCAATCTTCAGATGTTGAGTAGAGATTGATCATTACATAATTTAAATTTTAATAAATTATCTTGCTAGCATTAAAAAAAAATTGTATTGAGTTGTCCAGAAAGTTCATGCTGATTTTTAAGGGAAATTAAAACACAAAACAAAATTGTGCCATTAAATATTTGTTCAACTAAATATGAACCATTTTGTTGCACAACCTTTCACCATTTTTCCTTAAAATTAAAGATTCCATCTTCCCAGAATTTCACTGGTTTCTCAGGTGGATTTTTATGTCATCCAAAGAATTCAAATTTTTACAATGAATAAATGAAATTCTGAAGGAACAGTGTTTGGTTAATATGGTGGGGGTGGATTAACACATTCCAGTCAAGCTGCAACAATTTTTGCTGGGTCACCAAAGAAATGTGAAGTCTGGCATTATCCTGATGGAAAACAGTACCTTTCCTGTTCACCAATTCTGGGTGTTTTTCTTGAATTGCTGCCTTTAATTCATGCAGTTGCAAGCAGTACTCTTCAGAATCAATTGACTGGTTATTTGGCAGAAGCCTATACTACAGGATTCCTTTCCAAGCCACCAGATGTACAATATGACTTTCTTAGGATGAAGACCTGCTTTTGAGGTAGCTAAAGTTCACTTATCCCAGAATCTTTTTTGCTGAACATGGATTCATTTCTCATCACCCATCACAATTTGCTTTGAAAAGGGTGCATTTACATTGCATTTATACAGCAAATTTAAGAAGAAATGCAATCCAAGAGATTCTTTTCACTCAGATCATATGGTACCCAAGCTTCAATAAGTGCTCATGGATGGTAGATTTTGATAAATTTATTGTTTCCGCCAAATCCTGTGTTGTGTAATGCTGGTTATTCTCAATCAATGTCTTCATTTAGTCATCATCTCTAGTGAGGAGTCTGCATCAAGTAGGTTACAATCACTAACTCTAAACTTAGTGAAACATTTCTGTACATTTCTGTCAACTAAAGCAACTTCACTGTACACAGCACATATCTTTTTTGTTGCTTGCAAGGCATTTTTGCCTTTACGGTAAAAAAAAAGCATCAAGTGTGTAAAATGCAATTTATAATCTTTCATTTTCATACGGATGTAAAACTGACATGAATTAAGTAATTTTAAACTTTCTTTCCCCAAGAGATAGTTTGAAGTGTGCTCTAATCTGAAATGTAAGCATATTATATTTATTGATAAATTTGACGTATTCTAACTTGTTGGAACATGAACAACTAAAAATCAGCATGCACTTTCTAGACAACCCAATATTTAAAATAGACCTGATTTATATTTTATATTTAAAATACACTGGGTTTAGTGGCTTTATTTTATATTTAAAATAGATGGGGATTAATGAATTTTTTAAAAACATAAAATGAATATCCTAGTAAACCAGTAATCCCCCTATAATATATACACCAGCATTGTGTTAACCAGATATTTTATTAAAATTTAAACTATGTAATGGTCAGTCTTTATGCAGCACCTGAAGATTACATTGTGCATGAAATTCTGAGTTGTGCTACCTGTGAGGAAAAAATGTATATTTATTAATATATACTTAATAGCTCTGTTATATTATATTGAGCACTGTTTTATTAACACCAGCACTCAATGTGAGATATCTTATATATATATATATAGAGAGAGAGAGAGAGATAGATAGATAGATAGATAGATAGATAGATAGATAGATAGAGAGATAGATAGATAGATAGATAGATAGATTGTAGTGGGCCGTGGCTGTTATGTTGGCGGTTACGGTTTGTTGAGAGAAGTCAGACGTGGACGAAATGCCTGTATGGTTCAGATACTCCTGCCCGCCGGGCCCAACTACATAAAAAGGTTGGACTTTGATTAAGTCCAAAGAAGAAGGAAAAGAAAGCAAACAAAACAAGACCGATAATATATGTATACACAACAAATATATATTCATAACAAGTTACAATACAGGGAAACAGTACGAAGGACAAAGTGTGTGTGAATATTCTGTATGTGCGTGCGTGCGTGCGTGTGTGGATATTCTGTGTGTGCGTGCGTGTGTGCATTGTGCTTAGCGTGATTTCACGCTATTTCTTGTTAGCGACTACATTTCGAGGTTGATAGTTGAAATCCTCTAGGAAGCAGAGAAATTTACCTCGGGGTGTTAGTGCCCAGGCCTGAAATGGAAAAAGAGGTCGAGCCGAAGGGTCATTGGCTATTTATAGCCAGGAAAGAGAGACCTCTGGTGAAAGGGTTACGAACTTGAAGGAGGAGGTAACTCCGACAATATAGATAGATAGTAATAAATAGCTTAAAGATAGGAACAGAGAAAGGCATGAACAGTCCTGGATAGATAGACAGATAGTAATGTATAATCTGAAATAGATAGGAACAGAGAAAGGCATGAACAGTCCTGGATAGATGAATTTTAATATGGATGATAATGAATTTTAATTAGAAATATAGATTTTATATTATCCTAAATGTTATTTAACACTACTATGAGAAATAATGATTGGTGTAAAGGCACCCATAGCTCTACTAATCAAGAACAAAAGATTTGTTTATTTTACTTGTTACTTGTGTGCATAACAAATAAATAACTAAAAATTAATTCTAGTGTCAAAAAAATAATTATAATAAAATAATTATAACAATTATAATTATCATTAATTCACTCATTCTAAACCAATGAGAATTGACTTCACTTTTCTCCTTTAAACACACAAACATGTGACATTCTCACTATTGGACAAGCAATTTACACAGACAGGTCATCAACATATACATCAACAAAAAAAATTCATCTTTACATTTTCAGGCCATACTAGTAACATTTATCTTTTAACACTCAAAAAAAATTTGAGATAAGAAAACCCCAGATTCTTCTTGTATTTTCCAACTAAATTATCTGGACGTGCATTACACACATCTATAAAAAAAACATACGTGAAAGACTGTATACACTTTGCTTATTCTTTATATTATAATTCTGTCAGATTCCGATCCATATTTGATCTACATGTGACCCTAAACTCACAATTTTAATCACTATTACTGTCTCTTGTTTCTCCAACATCACATAACAAACACATAATAATATTTAGTTTTGTTGTTTTCATGTCTTATTGTTCCTCATTTTTTCAAGTATTTTTTGTATATATAAATGTAAGGGGAATTATAATTATTACTGTCTCTTGTTTCTCCAACATCACATAACAAACACATAATAATATTTAGTTTTGTTGTTTTCATGTCTTATTGTTCCTCATTTTTTCAAGTATTTTTTGTATATATAAATGTAAGGGGAATTATAATTATTACTGTCTCTTGTTTCTCCAACATCACATAACAAACACATAATAATATTTAGTTTTGTTGTTTTCATGTCTTATTGTTCCTCATTTTTTCAAGTATTTTTTATATATAAATGTAAGGGGAATTATAATTATTACTGTCTCTTGTTTCTCCAACATCACATAACAAACACATAATAATATTTAGTTTTGTTGTTTTCATGTCTTATTGTTCCTCATTTTTTCAAGTATTTTTGTATATATAAATGTAAGGGGAATTATAATTATTACTGTCTCTTGTTTCTCCAACATCACATAACAAACACATAATAATATTTAGTTTTGTTGTTTTCATGTCTTATTGTTCCTCATTTTTTCAAGTATTTTTGTATATATAAATGTAAGGGGAATTATAATTATTACTGTCTCTTGTTTCTCCAACATCACATAACAAACACATAATAATATTTAGTTTTGTTGTTTTCATGTCTTATTGTTCCTCATTTTTTTTTCAAGTATTTTTGTATATATAAATGTAAGGGGAATTATAATTATTACTGTCTCTTGTTTCTCCAACATCACATAACAAACACATAATAATATTTAGTTTTGTTGTTTTCATGTCTTATTGTTCCTCATTTTTTCAAGTATTTTTGTATATATAAATGTAAGGGAATTATAATTATTACTGTCTCTTGTTTCTCCAACATCACATAACAAACACATAATAATATTTAGTTTTGTTGTTTTCATGTCTTATTGTTCCTCATTTTTTCAAGTATTTTTTGTATATATAAATGTAAGGGGAATTATAATTATTACTGTCTGTTGTTTCTCCAACATCACATAACAAACACATAATAATATTTAGTTTTGTTGTTTTCATGTCTTATTGTTCCTCATTTTTTCAAGTATTTTTTGTATATATAAATGTAAGGGGAATTATAATTATTTACACAGAGTTATAACACTCTACACTACTGCAAATCCATGGTGCAAGTTTACTAGTGAACTTACCAGTGCTGATATACCACAGGATTTAAGGTTAGGTTTTTGTAACTGCCTTATTAGGGGGTAATTTTAAAGATTTAAAAGTCACCTTATACACAGAAATATATGGTATAATAACAATTATATCAACCAAGATGAGTACAATAGTTTGAAATATTAAAAGTATACTGACGACTCCTTATCTGAGAAATGAGATACTAAATTAAGACTGATTCTATTGATAACACTATTATTAGTCCGAAGAAGTTACTGAAGAAATATATTATTGGTGTTTGGTATCTCAACTTCACGACTTTACATCAAACAATTCTAGGTCTGAGGAATATGGAGGATGAGAGGCAAAAATGTGGCAAGTGAAGAAGACTCGTATTATTATATGTGCTGATGACACATTGTATTACTTGCTAAATATAAAGTATCATACATGTTTCACTAGATGCAGAATGAAAGGCTCAAGAGTAACTCTAGGTAGGGTGTTACTGAATGAGGTGGGTGATATCAGGGCTGGTGCAAGGGTCTTGTGTCCCCACCTAGAATCTATTATATGCCCCCCCCAACTAATCTATGATACAGTTCCCCCACTCTACTATGTCTTGATTTTCTTAGGTAGTATTCATATAAAAAATACAAATTTGATTGTGAACTAATTATGTACAATAATGGATCATATGCAATATAGGTGAACAATTCAACTAGAAAAATTGAAAATGAATACAATGTATCTATACACAAATTAGAGGCATGTCATAATAGATCATTCCGTCTTAAATAAAACAACAATGTTTTGCAGAAATTTTTAACATTAACTTGAAATTTTTTGTGTTAAAATGTTAAATAATTTCAAGATATTCAGCAATATGAATAAAAAAGGGTGAATCTGATATAGACTTTTTTAGGCTTAGCATGAGCAAAACAAACTCATGGATTTGGACAAAAAGAAAATCCAGAATAATGTCAAAATTTTCAAAGATTTTTTATCCTTTTAATCAGTTTTAGTCAGTTTTTGCTTTGTTTAATTTATAATGTATGTAAATGTAGACAGGAAAAAGATAGTGAAGGACCTCCTAATCAGGTTTCCCCTCACCCAGTTGGGGTGTTCAGGGTAGTACACACTGGCCCTGGGTGATATGAATAAAACAGGTTCATTTTTTTGATTGTGGGAAGTGAAGATTATGACAATGAGGTTTTAGTGCTAGAATTGCTTTGTCTGTGTGATAACTGCTTTTTTTTTCTCCTGATTTAAGAACTTTTTAATTCCTGTTCAGTAGGATTTTAAAAATGCCCAAACATTGTGTTCAATTCCCTGATAAAAGTTCAGGGAGAAGGTAAATTCCCTTCTAAGGTTTCTTTACAATTTGATTGAAATGATCCTACAGAGTTGTGTCCCTTTGCTAAATCACTGCAATGTCTGCTTTCAAAAGATTATAACCTCAAGCAAAACATGTCAGAAAAGATCATTCACTGCTTTTTAAAGCTGCTAAATTATTGATGTTATCACTGCACTTTCCAGGATAAATATTATTTTGTTGCCTGAGTTGCCTACTGCCTTTATGAAATTCCTAGAGCATACAATATCAAACATGACCTCCATTAAAGTCTTTGTTGTCCACAGGGCTGAACATTACTGTAAATAAGCCAGACTAGTCATTTTGTTGATTAGAATGAAAATGAAATTTACATATGGTTTACAATTCAATCTTCATTTAACAGTAGACATTTGGTTGAAAATTTGCACACATTAAACACTATATTACATTTCTAAAAACCTTATTGTGATACATGGCTTTGAAATTTTATTCCAGAAATGGGATCAGAGAAATGTATATTTGTAAAGGAGAGATATCCTTATGGGGAATTTATTTAGTTCTATAGTTAAAAAAAAAATGATGGTGTTTATTTCAGCTGCAGAGGGCAAAAACTACCGAAGAGGAAATTTATTTTTCTATCATCTCAAAGTATGTCCCAAAGAACCTTTAGAATTGTGAGGTAATCTTGATTTATGTTAGAAGGATGTTAGAATAAAACAGAACTTCTCTCCTGCATGCAGATAGAAAATGAATTCAGTAAATACACAAAAATATAAAAGAGTGTAAGACAAGGATGTATCTTCTTACCAAACTTCATCAACCATTACAGTGAAGCAATCCTGAGAGAGTTAGAAGTACACTTACTTTCCCCCCCAAAAAATGCCACTGCACTATGCAAAATTTAGTACTTTTCTCTGTGATACCAAAAAAAAAAACAACAAAAATACAGTAAGTTCTACCAAATGTTTCTTCTGCTCTATGCAATATGTAGCACCAGATTTGTTTGTTTTTTGTGATATCAAAAGCCAATAAGATCTGCCAAATGATTCTTATATTCTTTGCCCAACTTAATGATAAATGATTTATTTTCTTTTCATGCAAATCATTTCTGTTTTAACAAAAATTGATGTTTACTGTACTCTGAGAATCCATTTCTGTTTTTTTTTTTTTCAATTTCCAGAACCATTTAAATGTAGTGAAAGGAAACCAGAATGAAGCTGTAGCAATGAAACCTTTTAACCCCAAAATTACAAAAAGGCTTTACAAACAACCAGATACTGTAAGTACATCTTTTTATTGTAATATTTATGTATATACTACAATTTTTAACTCCATTCTTACTTGGTTAGCATATTTTAGCTGTTAAAGAATTGAATATAGACAGTAATTTGGTGCTAAATCCCAAATATCAATTATATGATACTATGGACTAAGTTTCACTTTAAATTTATCTTATTAATTAAAAATTAGGAGAAGGAACCTGAAACCCAATCCTAAGTAGGAAACAAAAGATAAACCTTTACTTATATACAAAAAACAGGGAAGAAGCATAAACAGGGTGATAGGCAACCCTATCCAAGTTAATGATGTTAACAAAATGACTTCTTGCTATTAGTGTTTCTATTTAGTAAACTCAGCTTAGTACTAACTAAGGTTTGATAAAATGGGAATAGGAATAGGAAGATTGTGCTGTACCTGACTTTTAAGTGAGGAGGTTTTGAAAAAAAATAGTAATCACATGAGATTTACCTGACCAATGAAAAACAAACAACATGAAACTCAAAGTACTGGAATTTTCTTTACCATAACTCATTTCCCAAAATTTCTGATGAAGCTTAAATAAAAGCAAACATATTAAATTTATATTTGTTTTCTTATATATCTACTATATATATATATATATATATATATATATATATATATATATATATATATATATATCCACTGTTACATTAGAACATGTACATACCCATACCCACTAATGTAACAGTGCATAATAAATAAAAATTTATTGTTCTACTTTTGTATTGAGGCCTGTTTCAAATTAATGTTTTGAATACTGAAATTTTACTCTTCATTCTTTTACATATATATATATATATATATATATGTATGTATGTATGTATATACAGTAGATACACACGCACACACATATATATGTTATAACAATATTTTTATTATAAAATATTTTACATTGCTATACAAAAAATTTCCATGTTTCAGAACTTAAAAATTGTTGCTCATCAGGCGATGTTGGATAACTTATGATGAAAATGATTTACTTGAGGGATCAGAAAACAATTTGGTAGCTCATTTGAGAGTTAAAAACGAAGGAGGAACCAAGATTCCAAAATTAAAAATATATTTATGATGATGTAACCAATCAAAATACGGATCAATGCTAAAATAGAAAAATGAGGGGTAGGTGGGTTATTAACCCATGTCCAGATAAATTGACACATTTTAGGCACAGATGATATCCAGTTACGAATATAAATTTCAGATACTGTGAAGTATACTGAGAGATATATTTAAGAAAAGGTTAATTTTAATGAATTTCAAGATTTTAAAAAAATGTTTATATATACTTCAGAACTATCTTAAAGGAGCCTCTTGTGTGATTAAAATTTTATATATATTTTGAACCCAAAATATTATACTTATTATATTGAATGGGCAATAAAGCATGGCAATATTAAAGTTGAAAAATCAAAGAATTAAATAAATATTATATATTAATAAAATAGTAGATATGTAATTGTAATGCATAGATTTTTTATGAAAAATTCTATTGACTTTATTTGAAAGTAAATATTATACAATGTCAACAAATTACTGTTAATTCATTTCTCTTATTTAGGAGATCATTATTTTTAGGAAATTTTATAATATGTAACTTTTCATGAAGATACAGGGGACATAGGTCATTTAAAGACTTACAAATTCTCGTTATTTTTAATATTTTCCATTTTACAGTAGGGGTTTTATTGATTTCTTTTAAATGCCAAAAATGTTTAGAGAGTGATGTTTGGTTATGGTACACATTGTTGTTAAAAGAAGATATGCTGATACAACCTATGTTTAATGGTTTTTTTTTTGTGCAACCAATATAAAATTTTTTAACAGCCAGGTTTTCAATAGATGAAATGGTGCATTGGTAAACAATTGATTCTGTAAGACACCTATTTTGCAATGGACAATTTATAGGATTTCTACAATTACATAATTTATTATCATTATTATTGATTTCTGCCTTGGAATTACTATTATACTTCGCTTTAAGTGTTGATTTAAAATTTTATTATGTTTTTTTAATAATTTTTTCTAGATTATCAGTACAACTCTAACTTAATTTATTTAACAGATGTCAGAAATAATATCAAGGGAATATTTAAAAAATTAATATAAAAGTGGGGGGAAATAAATATCATAGGATGAATACATCCAAATTAACATATACCAAATTAAATTTATATTAATTAATACCTGTCCACAAGGAAAAAAAATTATATTTGAAATTTAATATAAAAAAGAAAAATTATATTCATTTTGACATATTTGTTAATTTAATACTCTTTAATTCTGAATTATCTCTCTTTTATATTTTTGGGTTTATCTCTTATTATTTTATATAATATTTGTTTTTTTCTTTTATTTCTGAAGGTTCATGTGATTTATCTACCATCTATTTCTACAGGGTATATTAAATAGGTCATCTCTTTCTCTTCTTTCCTTCTCTTTCTCTCTTCCTTTCCCCTCTGACCACCATTCATATCAACAAGACTTGCACCACTTCCTGTTTCTTTTGCCACCTTCCCTTTCTTTCTCTTCTTCATCTTCTTTTTTCCCATGTTTTTTTCCTTTTCTTTCCTCCCTGTTGTCTGTTTTTTATTCCAAAAATTCATCATCCATTGACTGTTTGAAAAATCCTGTAAATTTAATTTTACAAGGTGAAAATGATCATTTATATAATGGTATCTTAATTGCGATTGTATGATATATATTGCTCTGTTTATTAGAAAAAACATGGAGCTCTATGTTTGAATCAGTTTAATATTTAATATTTTATATTGTGTTAATAGGATTCACTTGGATTATATACCAATGAATTATTACCTATATATATATATATATATATATATATATATATATATATATATATATATATATATATATGTATACAAAAGATATATATATATATATATATATATATATATATATGTATACAAAAGATATATATATATATATATATATGTATACAAAAAGATATATATATATATATATATTATATATATATATACAAAAGATATATATATATATACATATTATAATTGTTTATTTAAAAATATATTATCATCGTAACACTGAAATTCCCATGTTTCAAAACTGAAACTTCAATTAAAATTCAATCATAAGAATTAAACTTAAAATACAAAGTTCTGTTCCATTATCAAGTGATGCTAAGAATAACTTTTTAGAAATTGATTTACTTAATTTATAAGTCCAGACAAATTTGATATTTTGAGATGCTGGGGTTAAGGAAAATTCAATCTTTTTTACTTTAGGGGGTGTTAAGATTTAACTTATTTAGAAAACTCATGTATCTAATGTATTGTAGCTATCAAGTCGGTCAAGTCAAGGTGGTGACTGGTCTATCTGCCAATTGACACAAACTTCCTTTAGAAATTTGAGGTAGTGTCTATGTTCCAACATATTGTCTGGGTTTCAGTGGCAATATATTTGACATTTTATTTTTTATTTAATTTTTATTTTTATATAAATTTCAATTATAATTTTATTCAAAAGGAGCATTCAAATATTATTTAGTCACATTTTTAATATTTATAGTTTTATTTGTACCAACTTAAGATATTATTCTTAATTTATTTACTAATTGAAGACAGATATGGTAATGTTAAAAGAATCTAATTATGTATTCATAAACTATTTTATTTATGATCAAATATAAATATGTTAGTTTCATTTTATAAAATTAGCCATGACTTAAGGAAAAATTTAGCAATGTCTACAAAAATTCGCTATTTCATTTCTTTGATTTAATAAATTTTTATTTTTCAGAACCTTAATATTTAATTTTTCATGTATGCACAAAGAACATGGGTCATTTAAAGATCTACAAGTTCTTGTTTTTTTTATTAATTTCCATTTTACTTTTGGTGTTTTATTGGTTTTATTTGAATGCCAGAAATATTTAGATAAGGTTGTCTGGTTGTGATATTTACTATTATTGAAGGAACTTTTGTGTTGGTTTTACCTTAATTTAAATTCATTCTTTGTACATCCTACATAGACTCTAACAACATTAGGATTCCCAATAGATGAGATATTGCATTGATAAACTATAGATTTTATATGACATTTATTATTCAGAGGACAATTTTCAGGATTTCTACAGTTATATAATTTTTCTTTATTTTTCTTTATTCTTATTTCAGGATCTATATTTCTTTGATTTTGGTATAAGTATTTATTCATGATTTTGGCTTTGTTTCTTTATAATCCTTTCTAAGTTCTCAGTACAACAGTAACTCATTTTTAAGGTATTTTTATTAAAAAGTTTTCTGAGTTTACTATTTCTAGGAAAATGTTTTTCAATTAATGCAAGGAATTTTTGTTCTGTTTACTTATAACCATTTGGTTGAATGGGGGTGTATACCAAATGATTTTTCTATTTCTATTTTTTCTTGGGTTTTTATTATTATTTTTTACATAATTAATCTTTGGGCATTTATAGCCACTATTCTTTAGAGCTTTATCATAAAAATTGCTATGTTCATGCATATGATCATTATTCTTTTTTCATTAGATGAAGGTATGTGCTTAATTATTGATGGAGGATGATTAGACTTGGGGTTTATATATAGAGAATTAGTATTGGATTTTTTGTAAGGTAGGTATATATTATTCATTAAATCTAATGTCTTATCTAGGAGGTCTACTTTTTAACTTAGTATTCACAGTAATTTTCAAGTTTAGGCATTTAAATTCCCTGTGTAATAGCTTTGTAATTTTATCTATTTTAAAGTTAGTAGACTTTCTTATAACCTTAAGTCTATCATCTCTATACAGTTTGATGTTGTTAATACTAATTTTACAGTGTGCTGTTATATAATATAGAAAGAACAATAAGGTCAGAAGACTCTGCAGAGTCCAATGATCCCATTGTGATGTCAAAGTGGTGATCAGAGTTTTTAATCCTCTGGTCACCATTATGAATGATTACCAATTTTTTCACATTCATAATTATGTTTTTTTCCTCATCTGTTAGGTCAGAATATTGGGTAGCAAAATCCAGAGTAGTTGTGAAAAGTTCCCTTCATATTGATGGATAGTATTCTTCAATATCAAACTGTATTAGAGTACAATTTGGTTTCTCTTCAATATTAGTAAACCAATTTGTAACTTCTTTGGTACTGATCCATAGTTTTAATCCCAGGTAATCCTTTATTTGTTGGTTAACCCTTTCGCGTATTTTTTTGCTAATTTTTTCTGATTCTAGGTTGGTTTGGGTTGGGTTGATAATTCTTGTAGTTGGATTAACTTCAAAATCAAACCTCAAGGAATTTAAATAATAGATTATATGAATGCAAAAGGGATCTTTTACAAAACAACACGTTAAATGCATTAGTTGTTCACCATAATGAGTTTGAACACAATTTTTATTTAAAAATGCTGCTCTAACTAAAAGAGAAAACAATTTATTAAGATGAAAATGTTTGGAAAGTTCTTTAATTGTTAGATTATCCACAGTAAAAATCTGTGTCCAGCTTCTTACAATGTTCACTATTCTTGGCAGATTTTTATGATTACAATGTAGGATATTTAATAACAAAAGTGATGGAAACAAAAAAGAATCTAGATTAAATTGGTTAGCTTATATAAACAAAATACATTAAAAAAAGATATATTTTTAAATTTAAAAATCCCCAGTGTCTCTCTTTCATTCATGCACATGTGTAGTCACATCTATGTAAACATAAAAATAGGCTGAAAAAGTTCTAAAACTTCCAAAAAATGTTGTTTGTTCTGCACAAAGCGTCACCTTTATAATTGAATCATATATTTTTTTTTCTAAGCATTTCACCCCAAGCAAGGTGGGAGTGACACTAGCATGCAAGGGGTTACAGAGAGTGGGAGAGTAAAGAGGCGTGATAGAGAAAAGGATGAAGAGAAGGACAGGGAATAGATCAAAGCATCTGAAGATGTTGATTGACATTGCATTTGAATACTTGGAGATTATAGTTATCAAGGAAGCAAGTAAGAAGAAGGGAGTTCCACAGACGGAAAGTGCAAGATATGAAGCTATTGGAGTAGAAGAGATGGCTACATTTAACCATTTTGACAGTGAAAGGGTGAGACTGAGAGGCCAGCCTAGTAGCATGTTTAAATTCATGCAGTTTGGGAACCAGCAAATGTTAGAGCAGTTACTGTGAAAGTATTTGTAGAAAAGACAGAGGAAAGTGACGGAACATCTGTGAGAGAGCAACTGTAAACGAGATACCAGATCAGGGCCAATCACATTGCATATCTGTCTGGATTTTGTTGAGGACCTTAAGATGAACAGCAGGGCTCCAGACCATATATGGCAGCAGTAATTCATGCAAGGGCAAATAGTTGATTTATAGATTTGAAGGGGGGACTCAGGTGAGAAAAACTAATCTGGCTCTGCAGTTCTAATAACTGAGCTTTTGGACTCTCATACATAAAAAAAATGATGGGTGGGTCAATTAATCCATTTTGCACATTTGCAAATCTATCATTCGCCTGTGCATTGAATACTGCTGCTATATCTGGTCTAGTGCTCCTAGTATACATCTTGAGATTCTTAACAAAGTCCAAAGAAGTATCTGTAATGTAATTGATCATGGCCAGATATCTTGACATTAGTCACTTTCTCACCGATTTGATGTGGCTTCCTGTTAACCATGTTTGCTGTAGTCTCTGAATATAGAATCCAGTGAAGTCCGTAATGTGTTCAATATCAGAGGTTGGCAGTGAAGATTCGGAGAAAGTAGCAGCTGTTAAGTAATTCTTTAAGTCTTCGATATCAGAGGTTGGCAGTGAAGATATTTTGGGAGAAAAAACAAAATGGCTGCCTTTATACACATTGGATTGAATATTTTGAGCTTTCTGATTGGTTAACCTTTCTATTGGTGAACTATAAAATGAGTCAGCTCATTTTGACTAGCTCACTAGTACAAAAACTACCCCAAAATTCTAACATTTCCCTCTGTTTTTTCCCAAATGTTTTCATGGCATCTGCTCTGAGGAGCTTTTTCCCTTGTGCCCCAACTGCATAAATTTAAACATGCTACTGGCTTGGCATCTAGGCCCTACCATTTTCTTGTTGAAATTGTTAAATGTAACCACTCTTTTCTTTTCTTTTCTTTTCTTTTCTTGCACTTCCCACCTGTGGAACTCCCTTTTGTTTACTTGCTTTCCTGATAACTAAACTCTTCAAAAATTTAAATGCAATGTCAGTCACCATCTTCTGTCTTCTGAAACACTGTTCAACATTTGTCCTTTCCTCAATCCTCCCTATCCTCAGTCTTCTCTTTCACTTTAATTCCCTGTAACCCCCTATGTACTCATGGCATTCCTGCCTTTGCTTGAGGTGAAATGATTAAAAAATGATATATACAAGTTTCATTTCTATGATAATATATTATTTTTTTAATCTTTGTAATTATTTGAATTTTCATGACTATTCACTTTTTTATTTTCATCTGTGTTTTTGTAGAAACGGATAAAGGTTTACCCAAATGGTGAAAACCGTGATGAACGCAGTGCCTATGTTTGTGGTTCCTCTCTGGAAGAAATTCTTGAACAAGCCAAGGAGAAGCTGGGGTTCTGGAAAAAGGCAAAGCTGATGTATAGCAAAGAAGGCAAACTGGTAGGGGTTCATTATGGTTATCAGTATTCAGTCTTATGCTGCCTGTAATGCCTTTCTCTCATGATGTTTATCAGTTTAGGTTGTATAATTAATGACATCACAACCCCAACTGGGTTTACCTCAGAGTTCTTGACAAGATCCAGAGACGGATATGTAATATAATTGGCCCTGATCTGGCGTCTCGTCTACAGTCACTCTCTCACAGATGCGTTGTCGCCTCTCTCTGTCTTTTCTACAAATACTTTCATGGTAATTGCTCCTATGAGCTGCTTTCACTGGTTCCCAGACTCCATGAATTCAAGCGCCCTATGAGGCTGGCATCCTGCTCCCACCCTTACACTATAGAAACTTTTAAATGTAGCCGTCTCTTCTACTCCAATAGCTTCATACCTCGCACCTCTCGCCTGTAGAACACCCTTCCCAATTACTGTTTCCCTGAGAGCTATAATCTCCAACTATTCAAATGTAATGTCAATTGACAGTTACCTTGATCTATCCACTATCCCTCTCCTCATCCTTTCTTCTATCACTCCTATCTGCTCTCGCTCCAAATCTTCTGCAAACCCCTGCATCCTAGTGGCTTCATGCCTTGCTCGGGGCGTAATGCTCAAAAAAAAATATATATATATATATATATATATATATGTTTTATAAGAGAAAAATTATAATAAGGTACAACATAAGTAGACATAGGTACAGTTTACACTAGTTTCAAAACAAGAGATATGGATCCAGTTTATTCTAGAGTCAAAAAGATAGACATAGGTCCACTTTGAAGAAGGAGTCAAAAAGGTAGACATAAGTACAATTTATAGTAAGTTATGTCATATAACCCCTCATGCTAGGAGGTCTTGGGTGATGGCGTCAATTTAATAATAAAGTTGCATTCTTCTCTCGCAGTCGGTGATTGCTAGTTGTTTTGAGTCCAGAAATGAAAGAACTTCAACACATGGAATTTTAACTTAAATATTTTATTAACCTACATGATGACATGTTCTATCTATCAAGTGGGGTTACTCTCTCCCACTGGGGAGCCATTTAAATACAAAAGAAAACAACTCAACATTGTTCAACGTTTAAGAAACAACTCACTGAAAAACTTTTCTATATATTTTTTTTAAGCATTTCACCCCAAGCAAGGTGGGAGTGCCACTAGTACGCAAGGGGCTACAGAGAGTGTAAGTAAGGGAAAAGACTGGGTAGGGGGGGGGTGAGGAAAGGCTAAAAAGTGGAACAGAGGAGGATAAAGAAGAAGAATGGGGTTTAAAGCATCAGATGATATCAATTGACACAACATTTAAATTTTTGAAGATTATAGTTATCAGGGAAGCAAATGAGAGGAAGGGAGTTCCATTGTCAGGAAGTGTGAGAGAAGAAGCTGTTGGAGTAGAAGAGACAGTTACATTTAATTGTTTCAACATTAAAAGGGTAGGACCGAGATACCAACCTAGTAGCATGCTTAAATTGATGCAGTCAGGACACCAGTGAAAATAGCTTGTCAGTGCAGAAGCCATGAAAATATCTATAGGAAAGACGAAGGGAAGCCACATTACATCTTTGAGAAAGTGATTGGAGTCAAGATCCCAGGTCATGACTGATCACATTGTATATCCGTCTTTGGAGGTCATTTTTGAGACCAATGGCCAGGTTAACTTTGTCAGCAATACTGGATTTACTATTGAGACAGGAGTAAATGGTAGTGTCATCTGCGTAGATGCTTACTTGAGAACTGATGACATCAGGGAGATCATTGACAAAGATCAGAAACAGTGTAGAAACAAGGATAGAGTTTTGACAAACACCAGCATTCTTATGGAAGGAACTGGAAGAGAATCTGTTCAGGACAACTTTCATTTTACAGTTAGACAGGAATAATTGGATTAAATCAAATACTCCTCTGGTAATACCATATCACTGAAGCTTATGTAGAAGGCCAGCTCTATCATTCCCACACTGGTTCAGAAAATCAAAATCAACTTCCTTATTTTGTCTTCCATCTGACCTCAAAGGTCAAGCTCAAGAAATCTGAGCAGAGACACACTTCCCCTATAAATAATAATCTGCTAAACTATTATTTAACAGTTAGACATGGGTCTAATTTGTAGAAAAGTAAAAAAAAAAAAAATAGACATAGGTATGGTTTGCACTATAGTCCAAAAAGTAATCATATACCCAATTTATCCACAAATCAAAAAGGTAGACATAATTCCAGTTTGCAAAGCCAAAAAGGTAAATATAAATATGGTTTGCCCAAGTGTCAAAAAGGTAGATATGGGTCCAATTTACTCTGGTGGTAAAAAAGTAGACATTCGCAATATTTTGGTCATTGTAAATTCTTGCCTTCTTCAGGGGATATTTGTTAGGATTTTGAACTGAACCCTTTATTTAGTCCACAGGGGTATATTGAGCATTGAACTTTCCTCAGGCTCAAGAAGATGGGCTAAGATGGGAATTGAGACAGATACTGGGGAAATAGCATGTGGAATTAGAACAATCTACCTCCATGGGTAGATTATTCTAGTTCCATGTGTCATGCTTTTGGATATCTCAATTTTAGTTAATTCCCATCTCCAAGTCATCAGCTTTGTCAGTTGGTAGTATGATGATGATGCCATTCCTCTGTAGGGTTTTGATTACCAGCATCTCTTGTTTTGTGATATTTGATTTAGACATCTTGGCCTTCTCCAGTATCTGTCTCACTTCCTATCTTCACTTGAACCTGGGGAATGTTCAAGGCTATTTCCTCAATCTACCCCTGTGGGCTAAATAAAGAGTTTGATTCAAAATTGCAACAAAATTGCAAGAAGGACAGAGCTTACAATGGCTAAAAAATTGTGAATGTGGCAATAAAGAGTGAGGAAAACAGTCTGAATGATGTAAATAGTGTAAATAGCTACAATATCTCATCACATAAATATAGACAGATTTTTAGATGTATTTTAAATATTTTAATACAATATGTGTATATTGCAAAATAAGTGGGCATTTTTAAGCATGTTATACTCTGCTTCAAATTAGATCTCCTTCTGATTCACTTTACATGTCATCTGGATGTGAATGCTAAGAAAGCAAAACCCAAAATAAAAAAAAAGTCATCCTGTGTAAAGGGGCTCTGAGTATCACATCTGGCCCACAAAACAAGTCCCTCTTAAAAATTATAAAATAACAACATAAAATAAGCCAATCATGAATGTTGCTGCCAAAGAAAAAACATAGACAAAAAGGTGAATTCCAAGTTTGTGACAAATGACAAGCTTCACTAAACTGCTCCATGCCTCTCTTGATGTTGCCAACATGACTTTGGTCAAGTGACTCAACAAACACATGAGCTCCAGGTCTTATCAACTCTACCCTTCATTCAAAGCTATCTTCCTCACTTACGTTTTGAGACATTTCATTCACATCAACTCTATCGGCAATACAAAAGAATTTTATATTTACAATTATTGAGTTCTTCTACTTTCGCCTCACTGGTGACACTGTTGCTTTGTTTGTTCGTTCATGCTGCCATACACATGTTTATAATAAGTGGAATTGATAAAATTCTCAATAAAAGCAATAATAAATTGTTATGGGATCTTACCCATAATAATAATAATAATGGACTATTCCATACTTAATAAATACTGCGCCTCAGGAGTAGGCAAGGAGTAAGGAGTTCAAGGGAGTCAGTAGTTCAAGTCAAGCCAAGAGTCGAGTCAGAGGCAGTCCGAAACAGTCATGTTCAGACAATTACTGCAAGACATTGGAATAGTGATACTGGTCGAGACTACATTGTTCTCTCTACTAAACCTGATTGTTCATACTAACACTTCTACTTCTCTGTATATATTCCTGTTTGTAATATATCTGTGTTATGCCATACCTGTGTTCGCATTCTTCTTTATTGGTTCTACCTTGGACTATCACTGTGGTACAAGGAACCGGACCATAACATAAATAGAACAGGATAAATTAATACAAGATAATGCAAGGCATGGCAAGGTAAAGCAAAACAACGATAAGACAGTAAAAAACAACTGTCTTCGTATGCAAATGGGATAAGTTCAAATAGTTATAACCTTCTAACTTTAAGACAGGAAAGAAAAAATGTGTGAGCAAGCCTGAGAATTTACCACCCACAACAGAAGAAATCCCAGCAGACATCTGTAGGATCCATCTATAAATGTGAGGAGGGGGGATTTTATACAGTTTTAGCAATATGAGTCAGCTGTGGTCTTGTTAAACTGAAAACAGCTGGGCCTGTCACAGAAGTGGATTTGGAACATTTACTTTTGACCAATGGTTACCAGTGAATGAAGTCAACTCAAAAGTAAAGATCAAGAGTCTTGGACAGAGAGAAAGTTTTGGAATGAAGATAAATTATGAAAATAACAAGACAAAGAAAATTGTTATCTATAAAACTGACCATCCTGTGACAAGGCACACAGAGGGACAAAGCAGGCCTTCATGAGCGGATAGGAAAGACACCCATTAGACTGTGCACCTCCACCATCAACTACACCTCATCTCTACTTCACTCGATTATAGCAGTAGGTTACAACCAAAGAATAAAACTTGATTTACTGCTAGAAATTGTTTTTTTTTTTCACTCATAGTATACAATCTGGCTGAAAGATAATTTTTAAGCCACAAGTTTTTGACTAGAAGAAACTGCACCCTGTCAACAAACCTGGTGTCTGGTCTGAGGTGCAATGCAACACAATCATTCCTGATTGGAATCAATATATAGAGTAGGAACCTTCATATCAAAATCCAGCAGCTTCAATGATTCAGCTTGGTGACTGCCATGTGACTCTTTTTGCCATGGTGATTGGCACTGTTATAATGCAATAAAATTTAAACATGTGACATTAAAACTTGCATTAATTCTGCTCCATTTACCAGTGCAATTTTAATAAAGTGGTGGGGAAGGTTAACCTGTACAAATATCTGAAATGGGTTGCTGGAGAAGAAAGGCTAAGAATTTAAAGCTTTTGTTTTTTTTATTTCTAACAAATTTTTGCATGTTTTACTTGCTGTAGACTATAACTTTTTATTTTTATTTTTTTGTAGATTGAGACATTTAAAGATATCCAGCGAGATGATGTGCTGTTTGTTTCAACTGGACAACCATTTCAGAATCCATTGACAAGTCAGCAGGATATCCAGTTGAAAGCTCAGTGGGCAAGAGCACGAAAGATCCACGGCCCTCAGATTACTGATATTACAGTCAGTTCTGAACGAAATCCTGTGGTTAATGTAAGTTATTTTTTGATTTTTGATTTTTTTTTAAATTTTTTCTCAACTTTTAAAATGTTTTTCTCATTCTTTAAATTTTTTTCACTTTTCCTTTTTTCTCATTTTTTCATTTTTCCTTTTTTGCATTTTTGTAAATTTTTCTCATTTTAAAATGTTTTTCTCATTCTTTCAATTTTTTTCATTCTTTGATTTTTTAATTTTTTCTTTTTAAATTTTTTCTATATTTTCTTTTTAAATTTTTTAAATTTTTTAAATTTTTCTGTTTTTTATTTTTTGTTTTTCATTTATTTTCTTTTTTATAACTTTTTCTCATTTTTAAAATTTTTCTCACTTTTTAAATTTTTTTCATTTTTTCTCCTTTTTCTTTCATTTTTACATTTTCCTTTGTATCATTTTCTGAAAATTTTTGTCATGAATAGTGTTTTTTTTTTTGTTTGGACATTTCAGTAGAAATTGTTATAAGTCAGTGCTGTCAACTGGTTGCTCAAAAAATAAAATAATATAATATAAATAATATCTGTAACATATGTTTGATAAACAAATTTAAGTAAGCTTATCCTTGGCTAATTAAGGATATCTTAGAAATACTAGTCCTTATAATATACACAGATGACACTGATGGCAGATACAGAAAGAAAACTGCCAGAGCTGTGTGACAAGGTAGTAAAGGAAAGCAAGAAGAAAGGACTAACCATCAATTGTAAGACCATAGAATGTATGTTCATTAACAAAAGGAGCACCCCAAGATGTGAGCTACAAATTGGAGATGTCAGAATCATGCAAGTTCAGAAATTTATCTGGGATGTATTATCCAGAGGCACAATGGAATAGTAAAAGAAGTCCTCCAGAAGATAGGCAAAGTATTAAGAAACAGGAAAATTTTGTTAGCAATATTATGATATTGAAACAAGTCTTGCCAGATTTACATATGAACACTTTGTCTTTATATATATATATATATATATATATATATATAGTGTATTGGGGCAGCAGATCATTAGTCAAACATATATTGTTGAATATAACAGACAATAAATGTCTATTATATTTGATCATGAGCCATTCTAAGCTTTGTATAGTTGCTTTAATTTCAGGAGAAAATAGAGACAAAAATTGCTAGCACAAAGTCACAAGTCATCATGGCTGAGGGCTTGAGTGTGCTGGCCTTGTTCAAATTGTTGTTCACACTAGATAACATGCTCTTTCCCAGAAAGTGTAACTAAGGTCTGCTCAGCATAATTGCAGTATATACCACAGATGGGCTCTGTGGGTGTTGAATAAACACAAATGTGTCTGAGCAAGAGTCTGCAATAGGGATTGGCTAGCCACTCTAGTAGACGGGTATCATTGAATATGAGTGGCCAGCTATACTAATATATATAGGAAATTGATATAAACATTTTTATATATCAAGAACAATCTTAGGAAAATGTATAATAAAGGGAAAAATTTGTTTACATTGTTGTGATTATACATGTGCATGAAGAAGAGGGGGATACTGAAATTTTAAATTTAAATTCAAATTTTCTTTTTATAAATATATGGTTTAAGTAGTTTGGCTGATTTCATTTAGTTCCTTTTTCTATTGGTTTGTGTTTATCACTTACTATTAAATATCCCACATTGTGAAAATAAAAAGATCTGACAAGAAAGGTGAAATGTAGTTAGAACCTGGATGTAAATTTACTGTGGATGATCTAGCAATTAAAGCACTTTCTATATATTTTCATTCTAGTAAATTGCTTTTTCTTTTAATTACTGTAGCATTTTGTAAATCAAAATTGTGGTCGGACTCATTATGGTGCGCAACTAATGCATCTAGCGTGTTGTTTTGTAAAAGATCCCTTTTGTGTTCATATAATCATTTATTTAAATTTCTTGGGGTTTATTTCAATTTCATTTATTATCACAATGTGGGATATTTAATAACAAAAACATAAACAAAAGAAAAAGAAACTAAATGAAGTCACGAAAGTGAAATAAATTAAAGTAATTTAAATAAACAATTATATAAACAGAAAAGGGATTTTTTACAAAGTTTTGACCAAAATTTTGATTTTAAAAATATTACTATTGTAAGAAGAATTATTGTTAAAATATTTGTAGAAAAGACAGAAGGAAGCCATGTCACATCGGTGGGAAAGTGACTGGAGTCGAGATGTTGGGTGTCCAGGAAGTAAATAACACAAATATTATGTACAATAGAATCCAGGCATTTCAAAACAATGAAACAAAAAAAAAAGAAAAAAAAGAAAAAAAAAAAGATACAGTTTGGGTATAATAGCCCACTTGAATGTCTATGTGTTATTTATTTAAATTCAATTTAATTTAAAATGTCAATCGGTATCTTTTGTCTTTTTAATTCCTGTTCATTTATTCTTCTCTCTCCTTAATAATGTTTTTCTTCCTATATTCTCTTAGACTTTATAACCACTTAGTGGCTTTACTGATGTAAGTTCAATTTCTGTTGAGAAGACACTTCTTCAGTTCATTCCTATAAATTGTCAATTAATGCAAATAAAATATTTTTCTCAGCCTTTTATTTTTAATCGAACAACCCTTTCTGAATGGGGCTCTTAGCTTACCTGTTGAGAAAGGTAATTTATGCTCAAAAAGTTGTTAATTAATTAATCATGATGAAGTATTAATTTGCTATCTTCAAAGTGAGTCTTGATTATTGGGAGTTAAACATGGTCTCCGGAAATAAAACAAAACTTTGCTCATGAATTTAAAATCTATTTGTTCTTTTTATTGATCTAAAACATGACTGGAATTTTCAATTTACATCTTACCTTGAAAACAAAATCTATTCTTCCTATAGCATCTGACTTACTTTACTGAAAATGATCCGGTTTGGGGTGAGTATTTTTGTCTCAGCTTCTTTCCAACAACGAAGCTGCTTTATTTTGGATCGTGTCATTTGCATCTTTTTATTAAAAGTTTCTTTTTATTTTTAGCTTTTTTTCTTAAATTTTTAAAATGTTTTAATTGCAAAAAAATACAAAACAAAGTCTTCCACCATTTACCTGAGTGCATGTTGGTATTCTCACAATGAGTGCTGAAAATACAAGTCACAATTTGCAGTTTTTTTTGTGAAATCAATATTTAATGAATTGAAATGATACTATTTTATAAAAAAAAAAATCCAGATGTTGCATTTGTGAAACACTGCAGCTTGTCTGTGCTCTGCACAAAATAATTCATGTTGCTTTTAATTTTATTTTTTATTTTGGTTAGAATATTTTGTTCTTAATCCTGGAAACTCCCCCCGAAGATTATTGGACAGGGTTAGGATAATCCCTACCTTAACATGTGGACTCATTTGGGAAGTATTGGGCCATGGCCTTATCTTGTAGACTCTCCTATATGGTCAATATATACCTAAAAATCAGATAAAAAATAAAAACATTCTATTTAGGAAAAAAAGAATGATGTAGCGGTTGTCTAATTTAAATCTGTAAAGAATTGAGATTATAAATAGTCTAGACTGATTTTTTCATTTGTGTACTTAATGACATATTAACCCTTTATGGGTCATTTAATGCCAAAATTTAATTTTATTGGGAGTTTGGAAGTAATAAAGATATGATATATATTATTCTCCTTTCACAATTGAGTACATGGTAGATGATACTCAGCTTTTGTACATATAGATGTTTGTATGGACATAATTACTACAGACATATATGTGTTTTATGTTGTAGTTTTGTTACAGTTATATTTTGGAATTGATTTAAGAAATTGTCAAATATATAGATTAATTTCATGAAAGTTATTTCGCATTCATTGTTTGGTAGTATTTTAAATGGATTTGGGTTAAGTTGCTACAATTTTTTATTATGAGCATATTGTTGGTCATTTTTACTATAAATATGTATTGTTGATAATTTTTCTTATACAAAAATGTATTGCTGGTATTTTTACTATGAAATATATTTTATACTTTAATGGTGTTTCGTTTTTGTTCGTGTGTTCATTATTTGCCCATAGATGGGAGCCTGGCAGGTGTTACCACCTCGAGTTATGGTGGCCCTGGGAACAGCAGCAAATAAAAGGTAGTTACATACCCCTCAATAACATGGAAAGGTTTGATAAGCTGTACAAAAGAAAGAAATCAATCAATCAATCAATCAATTTTCATTATCTTTATTATTAATACTGTCAAGAAATACTTTTGTTGTTATTGCAATTAATGCTTTTTCTGTTCTATTCAGTTTTTACAAACATCCTAGTTAATTATCACTAGATTCCATTAGATTTCAATTTCATTTGTTATTTACACTATGTATATTCGGACTATTGTCCTTGTCTTTGTTGTTGTTGTTGTCACAATATTGTATCATCAGGTGCATATCGATCTGGTGTCATAGTAATTGTGAGTTCAATCCCTGGACTGTGTAGTGTGTACTTGAACTTGGAAAATGGCGAATGACAATAACTGACCAATGCTAAAAGTAAGAACTAGATAAAATGATATCCCTCATTATGGACAGTGGAATGAGAACTGTCTAACCCCAATAAAGGGTTCAGTTCAAAATTCCCTGTAGGTTACCCAGATCAATATATGCCTGATGAAGGCTGTAGGGTACAACAGCTGAAACATTGTAATAACAAAGATGACAAAAATAGTCCGAATATACTCAGTTTAAATAATGGTAATTCCTCATCCCAGAAATTCAAACTGAAATGCATTCTTTTTATTGTTGTTGCATGTATTGTAGCTGTTATATATCTTTCAATTCAGACTAGTATACTCACATTGGTTGTTAGATGTATATTGTTTTGTCTGTTGTACTGACTGGACTTCTTGGGGTGTCTGTCATACTTGATAACTTATGATCTGAATAACTTTTACTCATTCAAACCACAAGGGTAGACTGTTCTAATTCCATTTTCTATGCTTAGGGGATATTTCATATCAGCTAAGACTTGTCTTATTCACCATTGGTCATTTGTACATTTCTTCTACTGAATGAGAGCATGTGACTTTTCAAAAACCCAAGGATCAGACGTATCCCCAACCTTTACTACCTTCATAGTTGGTAATTTTCTTCGAATTTCAAACTGAACCCTTTATTTGATCCATGGAAACGATTGCTCTCATTTGATTTCCCATGCTTAGGGAAATCAAATCAGACAAATACAACAAATCCAGGCCTTACCAACTTTACCCTTCCTTCAAAGCTGCCTCTCTCACCTACATTTAGAGACATTCTGCTTGCATTCACTGTATAGTATTATATTGACAATTTTTGTTTTTTGTCTTTTCACCTCACCAGTAGTACTGTTGTTTTGTTTGTTCTTCTATGTCACCATACATATGCTTATAACACAAAGTATATGACATTTTAGCATTTTAACATATGACATTTTAACATATGACATTTTAACATATGACATTTTAACATATGACATTTTAACATATGACATATGACATTATATGACATTTTAACAGATCCAGGGATTGAACTCACAACTGCTATGCTTTAATAAATACATTAATCCATGAAAACAATCCAATGGTATCATTTTGGAGCCTGGAAGATAATGTCCGTACTCAGGTGGTGGAATTTTTCAGTGTCCTTTTATTCTTAATCAGTATATCTGAGATGCTGTACTAGGTCTAGTGAGGGGTTTGTCAGTGTTTAGCATATATGCTGATTCTTTTAGTCATCATATCCTCCAGTGTTGTTTTATCATGACTTTCAATTGACAAGTATTGATGACTACATCTTTTCCTATCATTTAAGATCAATCATGTTCAATTTCAGATTCTCCCTCTAGCCTACAATATCTTAATGTTCCTTAACACTTACTTTTAGCGGGCTCATAATCGCACCCATGTATTTCTTGCCAGAAATGCAGGGATAGGAATACACATAGTTCTTGGTTGTGTTCTCTTCTGGAAAGGAAGTTTTATTTTTGAGGGGGATATCTCTGAAGTGTTGAACTGCTTTGAATATCATTCTGATTCATATAGACCACAGATCCACTGAAACAAAAGTAATCCATGGCTATGGTAAACAGACCATAGTGGATTTTTTTTATTACTATTCTCAACTCTTCAGTTTCCCACTGTCAATTGGGGTCAAAAATACACTGATTACATTCCCAAGCAGAGGAGTAATACCCACCCTCCAAAAAGGTTACCACCTGTTTGCTGTAGCTATGTCCACCTTTTTCACTCTTGTACAAAACAAACCAATGTTTACCTTTGTTAATGCTTATGCAAGCTTGACCTATGTCTACTTATTTTTTGTCTCATGCAAATCTGATGTATGTCTTCTTAGTTTGTCTCCCATGCAAACCTAACTTATCATTGAACTTTTTCTGAATCCTCTGCACTGTCCTCAGATTGAAACCTAAACACTCTGAAATGTTCATATTGGAGCTTCTGGTGCAAATGCCAAGCAGTTCAGCATGCCATTTTCAAATTTCTGGCAGAGTGAGTTTCGTTATGTTGCTCTTTTTGTCACTGACCCTACTATTCTCTGCACTCCACAGAATCAAAAACAAGCAACGTACATGCACAAAATTAAAAATAAATTTGGGATAATTTACCCATCACACCCTATATATATATATATATATATATATATATATATATATATATAACATCCAAACATCATTATAGTTGATACTTCGTATATAAAATAAATCTCATTTTTATTTATTAAACAGTTTATTATTACACTTCTTGTCTTGCACATTCAAGAAATCTTAGTAAAGAAAATTTGTTTCCTGGCAGGGATTGAACAAGCATCAAATACAAATTATCCACCATAATAACATTTAAAGCAATAAAAATGTCATTTGCTATGTCGTCTGCAAGGAAAGTTGGGTCACTGTGTCATGCCAGAAAAATTTTCTCATCAGAATCCATCTTCCATATTTATAAATCTGCCATTCATCCATCAAGTGAATAGTATTGCTTTATCTGGTCTTGTGCTCCTATTGCACATCTTAGGATTCTTGACAAAATCTAGAGAAAGGTCTGCAATACTGTTGATCCTGATCTGGCATCTCGTCTCCAGTCACTTTCTCACTGACGTGATGTGGCTTCCCTCTATCTGTTCAACCAATATCTTCATGGCAACTGCTCTGATCAGCTTTTTATCCTGAATCAAACATGAATTTAAGCATTCTACTAGATTGGCAACTAGATCACACCATTTAATGTTGAACTAGCTGCATGCAACTGCCATTTCTACTCTAACAGTTTCTTGTACTTCCCACCTGTGGAACTCCCTTCCAATTTATTGCTTCCCTGATAACTACAAAAATTTAAATGCAACATTAATTGCCATGTTCTGTCTTCTTGAACCCTGTTCCTTTATTGTCCTTTCTTCGATCCACCTCATTCTCAGTCTTTTCTTTCACTTTCACTTTCTGTAACCCCTTGCATTCTAGTGGCATTTTCATCTTATTTGGGATGAAATGATTAAAAAGAAAATGTTGACTTAAGTGGAAACATCATTGATTTTGAGTATACTTTCCTTTTTGCTATTGCAGGTTGATCCTTTTGCAGCACCTTCCAAGAAAAAGGAACCCCTGATCAAGCCTGGAGGACAAAACTGAGGAAAAGGTTCATCATCATATAGAAAGAACATTGTCTTGTACATCACAGAATGTGTTCAAAAGCATTCATAAATTTGTTGTTATTACTATCAGATTATTATTATTATTACTTGTGGTTTTCATTTACAAATCATTCCATGAATTATTTGAAGTAACATCCTTTCAATCAGAACATTTTAGCCATTTGATTCTACAGTCTTCTTCAGGTGTATGTATCATGCAGTAACCTTGAAAGAGACTTGAACATAGTATTTTATTATTTACACAATTTATATTCAGACTATTCTCCTCATCTTTATTGTTATTATCCCAACATTTTGTCAGTTCTACTCTTCCTCAGGTGTATGTTGATCTCGGTAACCTACAGTTAATTCTGAACTGAACCCTTTATTTAATCTCTGGGGTTGGGATACAGGGAGACTGTTCTCATTCCACTGATCATGTTTAGGGATATTGTCTAGTTCTTAATTTATACAGAACTGTCCAATTATTGCTCACCTATTTCCACTGAGTGCAAGTACTCACTGCCCAAGCCAGAGATTGAACTCACAACCATTATGTCACCAAATTCACAAACCAGCACTTTTATCCACTAGGCTGTAGTACAATTTGTTTTGTAAACAACTTAACCTAGCTGCTGATTAGGTTACAACTGCTGCTGCTGCTGGTTGTCATGCTTTACTTGCTGCTTTTGCATAGAAATAAATATGGTATGGGAGCCACTAATAAAGAAATAAAGTCAAATGAAAGCAAGTCTTGAACAGCAGCTGTATTTTTTTTAATAATGTTCATGCTGTACAAGGTCCAAGAGCCACTCGAGGTAGAGGATTGCAGCATAAGAGGTACAATTTATGAGGATATGTGGGGAAGATTAATCCTAAAGAGATTCGCATGTTCAGTATAGATCATTTTCAATTTTTTTTCATCCATTTTTTGAAATTTCATTTAAAATGAAGTTAAAGGCAATGTCCATCACTATCTACTGTCCACCTGATTACTTTCTTCTCTTTCTGTTCATCATTAATGTTACTTTTCTTAAGTCTTCCACACCCTGTAACCCCTTGTGTTTTAGTGGCATTACTGCCTTTGTTGGGATGATTCTGGTTAAAAAAAAAAAAGGAATAAATGTTGTTTATAAAAGAAATTAATTTTTGGTGTAAAATAATTTTTTTCCTGGGATGGAATGAGAGAACAAAGAACATCACCTCTCTTATCGTGAATCTTAAAAAAGGCATATATGATGACAAACAAGAGGCAAAACTACCTCACAAAATTTGAAAGGTACAAACAGTTATTATACAGACATAAAACAATATTGCAAAGTAAAAATTTTTACAAAAAAGGCTTGCACAAAAATTTCTTTCCATGCACCTTATTAAGGACAAGGCAAGATAACATAACAAGTTATAGAAATAATTGGCTCTAGAAAAGATTTGCAATACAATCATTTTCAAATCATGAAAGAAAAAAAAATGAGAAGGTGATACAAAAGCCATTGAAATTGAAAAGAAATTACTTAAAAAAAAAGGAGGCCCACCCAATTAATAAAAGAAAAAAAACGTATTTGTAATTCAATCAAGATTCTTAGGGAGGTCTTAATGATATTTTTTCAATGTTGTTCAGTTTTCTTTCTGCTTGGGTCCCACATGGGGTCCACTCGGTGATTTAATAATCTTCTTGCAATGTTCAATTTTCTCTCTGTTTTTCTTTTTCAGTTCTGGAATTTTTTATGTCATTTTGAATTGTCTTTTGTCAGCATAGTTTTTAAAAATGCTGAAACCTTGCTGCCCTTTGCTCTGCTGTTGACTTTCACACAAAGAAGCCTAAAACCTTCTGCAGCCTCCTCCAATCTCTATGGGTTTCGTCCCTTCCATCTGTTTCATTGGACAAAAAATATGGGGCTAGCATATTTTTTCTGACTTTGAAAAATAAATCCCCAACACTCCACCAGAAGAATTATTTCTGGTGGTCTTTTTTAGAGCCTAATTCTTAACAAAGAAACTTTGGTGCTACTGTAGTATGATATCTACCAAGGCATTTGCAACTTACCATAAATGACAATGCAGTCTTCTTGATAACCCACTTGTGGCCTACTGCAATTAATTCCTCAAAATATATAGTGTTATTTTAACCTAAAGAGTGGGTTATTTATCTGTTTTGTATACATAAAGGAACCATTTATGTAATTCCATTACAAAATAAACAAGCTAATGTCAGACAAAATAATCTCAATTGAAGATGAAGCAGTGTCCTTTTTAAAAGTTAGTGTTTGGGTTTTTAACATATTTTATACTTCCAACTGTTGGTAAATATCATACCATAGTAGAAATGAATAGTAGATAACATACTATAGTAGAAAATGAATAGTAGATATCATACTATAGTAGAAAATGAATAGTAGATAACATACTATAGGAGAAAATGAATAGTAGATATCATACTATAGGAGAAAATGGATGGTAGATATCATACCAGAGTAACACTTTTTTGTTTCCATTTTCTCTGCTGAATACTGTATTTTTGTTATCTCTCCTAAACCCTGTTATAATGTCCATTTACATAATTTCGCTAGGTAGGTTATGCGTTGTTTTACTCTGTTCCATTTGCCTTAAATCTGTCCTCTGAGTATCAAATTTTCCAAGCCTTCTTTCCTCAATCTGTCATAAAATTCCCTAACCATTCCAATACCATCTGAAATTTTCTATCTTTTAGTTTCTTTCTCATTTAACCCTAACAAATTGTCAGTTGGTCAATATCACACTACAGGAGAAAATGGACGGTAGATATCATACGATGTTAGCACCAAATCTTTTACACACAAAACTATTTTTAATAAATCATCTGTCTTTCCTTTAATACAGTTTTCCACAAAATAAATGTAGAAGACAAACTCAGACTATTTGACATTCATTTACTCACACTTTTTAATTAATTATTATTTTTAATTATTTTATACAATTAAATAATGAAAATCTTTTCAATATACACCTAGGCGAAGGAGCTCTCAAGTGGTCAAAATTGGTAATTACTGATATTTGGTGAAAGTCTAAATTTTATTTGCTTTCCTACATTACTTCATGCCTTTTTGCTTATTTTTTTTTCCATAAACCTGAATATCAATTTTCAGTTCCCAATGTGTCTTAGCGGTATATTTTGTTAATTCTCGAACTTAATATGACCTCAGTCCACCCCATCCCATCATATCCTTAGTTGAAACGAGTGTTATAAATTTGCAATGACATATTTTTTCTTGCACTGTCAGCAGGTTGCCAACATTGAGTTATTAAGATCAACTATAAGAGGCTGGTAGGAATTCATTTTCAAAAAATCTTTTTCTCATTCATGTATTTTTTAAGATTTTATTTAAAAAAGAAAAAAAAAATTCACATACACCTATCCAGAACTGCTCTTAACCAACTGGCCAGAATTGGTAACTATTGATATTTTCTGAAAGGGAATTAACAGATCAGAAGCGCAATATAAATTAATGCTTCACTTACCATTTTTCAATGAGGCTGAAAAAATCCTATATGAAAGTTGTTACCACAAAGTTTTAGTTACCTCAAGTATGAAACAGTTTTCTCATAATCAAAGAAAAGCTACAGGAGATTTTAGTAGTAAGAAACAATGTCAGATGTCAGATTAAAAAAGTTGCTGAAAAAAAAAAAAATTACATATATATATATATATATAAGTATATATAAATAAAAAGAAAGAACAGTAAGATATATAATCCGGTGTTCTTATAGATATTTTTATTTTTACAAAAGATTGCTCAATGTAAATTTACAGAGCATTAATATTATAAATTAATTTTTGAAACATGGTTAAAACTGTGTAGCGAAAAAAAACATATTTTAAATCAATTAATTTATAACATATATATATATATATATCGACTTCCTGATGTTATTGGTCTGGAGTGGGGATCATCCCAGCATGTGGCACCTTTGGAAAGTGCCTGAAAACCATGCCACGGGTTGACCCAAATCTTGTGAGTAAAATTGGGTAGACGGAACACTTGTGGCCGTTGATAGCTATGCTAGCATGAAGTCACAATTCATCGTGACCTCTTGTCTAGCTTAGGGTTCAGGACGGCATTCCAGTCCATCATTAAGACTAGGCGCATTGAATCCACCAGGAACGGCACCAACTGCTGAAAAACGAGACACGCTCCTCTCAATCGTCGGGAGCATAAACCGCAACAATCCAAAACGAACCACTTTTCACAGCAATATCAGCCACAATCAACCGGCTCTCAGCATCTTCATGGACAAGGTCCACCCTTGCATCCAGGGTATGCTTCACCAGCAAAGAAACCCCTCTGGCCTGTCGGTCCCTGTATGCTGAATAGACGACAAAGTCGTTAGACAGTACACACGCATCAACGTTGCAAACAAACTGGGTCTCTTGAATCGTGGCAACATCCACACAACAACAAGAGGCCATGAAGCAGGTGGGCTGCCTTACCCTGATCCCTCAGGCTATTCGCATTCAGGCTGGCTATCCTTATAAACATCATTTAGGTTTTAAAAGAGAGAAACAAAAACCTACTCACATACCGGACGGAAATCTGCGGTGGTAAGGACGGTTTGTCTCAGGGTCTCCGTGCCCAACTCTGAAGTCATCCATCCATCCAGGACAATACCGCCGGTGTCTGGGGGATATGTTAGTTTTAAAGCCCTGTATAAAGAGGGGTGGAAAAGAACCGGGACCCTCCCTATACAACATCTGGAAAGTTTTTTTTTTAACACAGGTGTGCCTGTCTAAGTCCCTCTCTGCTTCCCTTTTGTCGACTCTAGATATCCTCTACTTTGGGAAAGTATTTCTTTATCTCCTTCTTTTTTCTGGACGGGTGGGGTGGGGTTTTGTGGAACTTGACCGCAAGGTAGAAGCGGCTGGTTGGGGAGGTGCTGATAGTTGGGGGAGTGGATGGTTGGGGTGGAAGTGGAGGGAGACGGAGCCTTAACTGGTGGAGAGGGAAGGCTCCTTGACTTTGG